TAGCTCCTTTCCTGCTCTAGGATGTCTTTCCTCCTGTTGGTCTGCAGGTGTCCTCCCAAGCTGTTGCTGTCCCACAGTGGAGAGAACACTGTTGTAGACCCAAAGGAGGGAAAAGAGCAGGGGTACACTGATCCATTCAGTCAGGGCTCCAGAAAAACAGGGACGATTTATTCTAAGGAATTGGCTCATTGTCATTATGGAGGCTGACAAGTCCCAAAATCTGTAGTCAGCAAGCTGCAGGAGAGCCACTGGTATAGTTCCAGTCCAAAGGCCAGCAGTCCCAAGTTCAAGGAAGAGCGGGTGTTTCCGTTCAAATCTGAAGGCAAGAAAGAATCTGATGGCAGGTTGCAGGTTGTCAGGCAAGAGGAGTTCCTGCTTACTCAGCCTCTTTGTCTTCAACTGGACAAGGCTCATGAAGACAGTTTGCTTTACTCAGTTTACTTATTCAAAACATTCATCTAATCAAGAAACACTTAGATACACCCCGAGTGTTTGACCAAGTACCTGGGTACTCTCTAATCTTGTCAAGTTGACACCATCCTGGGTGACAACAATAGCTACCATTTACTGAGTGTGTACCGTGTGCCAGGCACTTCCCTGGGCATTTTCCGTAGGTGTTCCCATTCTGCAAGGCAGGTATTTTCCATATTTTTATTATTTATTTATTTGGTGGTATTGGGGCTTGAGCTCAGGGCCTCATGCTTGCTAGACAAGCACTCTACCACTTGAGCCACTCCTCCAGTCCTTTCTGTATTGGGTAATTTTGAGATAGGGCCTAACAAACTATTTGCCTGGGTTGGCTTCAAACTGCGATCCTCCTGATCTCTGCCTCCTAAGTTGCTAGAATTACAAGCATGAGTCACTGGCACCCAGTTATTCATGTTTTTAAATTGAGAAATCAGAATTTTAAAGATTTAAGTTACTTGTCCTGAGTCATTCAACTAGTAACCAGCAACTCATGTAATGCATGCTTTTTTTCAGCAATGTCAAGAACCAAAATAGAAGCATCTTGCAAAAGGAGGCGATGTGTATCCAAATCCATCCTTTCAAACCAGAGAGCAGGTTGTATTCTCACTTCCTGGGAGGACTCTGGAGCTAGGGGCCAACAAATAGCTCGGGGTAACATGCTAGTTAAAACTATAACTGCATAAAGATTATCTGATGAGTGTGATAAAATGCAGAGTCCTGGATCCAGAGATTCTGATTCAAGGTCTAGAGGAGAGCCCAGGAATCTATTCCAGCCCAGGAAGCTCTGCTCAATCATACTGGCTTGTGGTTTCTATGGGAGGATGGACAAAAGGAGGTCACATGGTTTCCTGAGGCCTCCCTGGGATGCCTGGAAGAGGGCATTTCCATACCTGGTGTTTATCCTACAGTCCCAAGATGGGCTTCAGGGTCTCTGGATGAGAATCTGCATTCTATATGATGGGTGTTACCTCAAGATTTCAAAGGTAAGAAAGGCATTTCATTTAGTCCTAGGTAGCTGGACCATGCCAATCACAATGACCAGTCTGCAGCCCCTTCCATAGCACTGGGCTGTTTTCTATGCAGGGTGAACTTGTTGGACTGGGGTGAGCCTGATTCACCATCCGGCAATGACTAGAGATAGAGGTATTCTGGCACACAAAGTTTTGCCTGAGGGCAGTGGCGGTTGACTAAGCAATCAGGCTCCATCCTGAATAGGGTGGCAGACCTAAGACCTTTGGCACACAGTAAGAGATCAGAATCACACAGGGAAGCAATGGGGGAACTGAGAGGCCGGAGGTAAGCAAAGCCAAACCTCAGAGCTGCCTTGCTCCAAATAGCTTTCCAGTCTTTGCCTATTCACATTCCTACCATAGTCTTCCCTCTTTAAAAATTTTTTTTGGTATCAAGGTTTTGTGCTTGCAAGGTAGGTGCTCTGCTACTTAAGCCATGCCTCCACCCCTTTATGCTCTGGTTATTTTGGAGATAGGGTCTTTTTGTCCAGGTGGATCTGGATCACAATTCTCCTATTTATGCTTCCCATGTAGCTGGAATGACAGGTGCGCACCATCACAACCAGCTTTTTACCGGTTGATATGGGATCTCTTGAACTTTTTGTCCAGGCTAGCCTTGAACCTATATATGCTCAACCTCAGCCTTCCAAGTAGCTAGGATTATAGGTGTGAACCACTGCCCTAACCTCCCCTCTCTTAAAGGTGTTTTAAGTCACATTCTTTGCAACTAAAAGCCTAAATTCACATTTAAGATTCTTGGATTCATTAAATGTGAAGGTTGGGGGGATCTTTTCTGTGATTCCACCCACATTCTACAGATGCGCCCCTTGCTTAGGCTGTTATCCTATTTCAGAGGATGGGAAAGGCAGAGAATTTATTAGGTGTTGCAAATGGAACCCAGCCTTTCCTGGGTCACAGCTCCAGAAGTGACCTGTGCCCTCAGCAGGAATTCTCCACTACCTGGGGCAGTGTTGTGAATGAGTGCACTGCTATAGCTTGGACCTGAAGTACCCCAAAAGGCCCATGTGTCAAAGATTTGGTTCCCAGCCTGTGGTGGTGCTATTGGAAGGCAGTGGAATGTTTGGGTGGTGGGGCCTAGTTGGAGGGAGTTAGGTCACTGGGGTGTGCCCTTGAAGGGGATGTTAGGACCCTGGCCCCTCCCTCTCCTCTCTTTGTTCCCTGGCTGTTGTGACACACACACTCCCACCATGATGTGCTCTTACCATGATGTACTGTGCTGCGCGACAGGCCCAAAAGCAGTAGAGCCAATGGACCTGAAACCTCTGAAACCATAAGCAAATATAAACCTTTGATTTTTATAAAAATACCTTCTTTACCTCAAGTATTTTATCACAGTGATAGAAAGCTAACACATGCTTCTTAGACCCCTGTAGTAATCACACTCCCAGAGGGAGCTTCTTCTCTCTTTTCTAACATGAGCATCAGTGCCTGGAGGGCAATAAGTGCTCAACATGTATCAACTGAAAAACAAGGTACTTTTGTATATTTTTTCTTCCATTTTCATCTTCCCTTCTTCCTTCCTTCCCTCCCTTCCTCCTTCTTTCCTCCTTTTTCTTTTTTTTTGAGAAAGATAGCCCCTGCTGTCCTGAACTCTCAATCCTTCTGCCTCAACCTATGTAGTACTAGGATTACAGGTGTGAGCCACCATGCTCGGCTTCTCATTGCTTCTTAAAACTATTTCACGGTGCTGGGAGATCAAACCTAGGGCCTCTCGAATGCTAGGCAAGCATTCTACCACAGCCCTGAATCTTCAACTGTTTGTTTTTTTTTTTTTAATAAATCGTCAACTTCATTTCACGTATGAAGAGGTAAGGTTGAGTGATGGTAAGCGAATCGTCAGAGATCAAAGAACTAGTCATAAGGACATAATATCCAAGTTCTCTCACATCCACAGCAACTCTTCTGAGTCATTTTTTCCCATCCTCATGGCTGCTGTTATGGTTCAGATCTTCAGGTTTTTAACCTCCCAACTGATCTTCCTGCTAGTCTCAATCTCAATCGCTCTTCTACACTACCACCAAGACTTTCCAAGACTCTCCCCAGTTAACCCTATCACACACAGGACAAAGGCCCAGTCTCTCAGCTTTCAAAACCCTCCCTAACCTCAGCTTGGCTCCAATCTCATCACCATTGGCATATCCCTGTCATATTAATTCTCTCATTTTTTTCAAAACAATGTGCTCTTTTTTGTTGAACACACCACTTGTTTCTGCTCCATGATCCTTTATCAGCTTTTCCCCAGCTGTTTTATATGCATATAAACATACAGGAGGATGTATAACAAATTTATGGTTTCAAGAATGAAGGTAAAAGACCAATGAGGGCTGGTGGAGTGGTTCAAGTGGTAGAACATCTACCTAGTACCAATAAACCCTAGTACCAATAAAAAAAACCCCACTAAAACAAAACAAAAACCTGGAAGAGCAATGATGTTTCCATCATTGGAAGAATCCATTAGCAGAGTCCCTGTAAGACAGCACTCTTTAAGCCTCCATGCCTCTGTATGCTAGGATGCCCTTTCAGCCTTGCATGCACAGTGAACTCAGCCTTTGGAACCTCAGATTCAGCTTCTCTCTAGAAAGCCTCCATCTACACTCCAGAGGGACACTGTTTTTCCACTATACCTTCATTATGGCATTTGTAACTGCAATATATTTGCTTACATGTTTTCCTTTCTAGTAAATGGATGGCACGTCATCTAATCTCTGGATCTCTGGCAGCCAGCCTAGAGGCTTGTGTACCACAAGTACACAAGAAATAGGATGTCTCCTCCCAGTGTGCCTGGGAGGGTGCTGCCTGTTGCCTGTAGTATTGGAGTAATTGTTATCGGTACATATTTTTACTCATGAAAGTGTCTTAATTTAGGTGACCAATTATATGATCACCTTATCAATAAGCATTGCTAAACGAATAGATAAATTAGTGGATGGAGAAAGATTTGAACTGAAAGAATCTAGGCAGGAAAAGCCAACATGTAAAGATTCTCAAGTACAAATTAAAGATTGGGCCACTGCACTGTTTCTCCTTTACAGTCCTTGGTTTTACTGGAGATCAGATGCTCAATAATCTTTACTGTGCAACTAAGATGAAAAATGCTAGCGTCCTCCAACTTAAGAAAATCTAGATGTAACAATGTGAATTTATAGTACAGATCAATATGGCAGAGAATATTAAATATTATCTGTGTTTACTACTTGAGGACATGTGGTTCATGGGGGAATTTAAAGAATCGATTTCACTACATAATGGATTTTAGAAATGTAGATCAAATATTCCTAACATGATACAGGTTCACACAAGACTGAAAAAATTCAATAGCTGCACCATTTTAAAAGAACCTCTCTTTAGAATACATGCATATCAGTTTGTTGTTCTTGTTCCCTGGGAAAGATACAATCTCCTTGAGTTGCACATTATAAATACAAATTTTATTTAAACTTCTTTTGTTATTCAAGTAGAAAAAGCTACTTTAACCACTATTACACAAAAAAAAGGGAAAGTGAAGCAATCCATCTTCTTGATAATAATCCTTTCTTCCTCCAGTATCATCTTCTTTGAAAGTCAAGGCAATTCCTTATGAATAAGGCTTTCAATAAATTAAAGATATGTAACAGGTTCTTGTCCATCTTCTTCCTAACTACTTAACACACTGTTGCATAGCAACAATTTCTTTTTCTGCTTCTTTGTTGGAAGTCTGAGAGTCTGAAATCGGCACTGGCTTGGTTGAGCGTGGGAATTTTTCTGGTGCCACGGGTGCAAGTATCCATTGTAGAAATCAGTAGCTGTTAGTGTTTTTTTAAGCATTAATGACCGAACACCAATCCAGCCATCCTAAAGAGGTAAAGGACAAATAGTGACTAGGCAGTGGTAGCAAAACTGGACAACTAAGTACATTTTAATTTACAAAACTTTTATCATGGAAACAAATCTCTACTGAATGCCTACCTGCAAACACCACTTCACTCAGTGGCATATACAATCCCTTCCCTCTAAAAACTAATTACTGAGGGGAGATAACAAACGTACAGACCTGTACCAATTTTAACACAGGGAGTAGAATAAAAAAGCTGTTATATTGGCACGGCATAGAACAGTTTCCAGAGTATGTCCCTCTATGTTATTGTGACTGGTTATCAAAAGGTAAGAAATCTAAAAGGTAGATAAGTCTAATACCATCCCTAATTTTAGAAAAGGAAACTGAGGCCCACAGCTGGTGGGTGATTTTTCCAAGGTAACCCAATTTGTCAGACTCAAATTCACATATTTCAACAGCCATAGCCTCTTCTATGGGAGCAAATGATAGACATGGAACACATACAAACAGACTTGCACACTATTCCAGAGAAGGCTAGAGAGATGAGTAGAGGCTGACAGATGTGTAGGTCGCATCAATCTATCACACATTTTAAACCACCCTGGAGACACAGCCTCTCACGTAAACATCACATGACAGAAAACATCCAGGAAAAGGAAGGAATGCGGCATACTTCTCAGGAGCATGCCATGGTCATATAAAATAATGGTCCTAGTCATTTTGTTTTTATTTATTTATTTATTTACTTGGTGGGGTGGGGGCTTATACTCAGGGCCTCTGCTTTACCACCTGAGCCACTCCACCAGCTCTTTTTTGTGAAAGGTATTTTCGAGATAGATCTCGTAAACTAATTGCCAGGGGCTGGCTTTAAACCAAGATCCTCCTGATCTCCTCCTCCTGAGTAGCTAGGGTTACAGGCATGAGCCACCAGCGCTGCGGTCCCAGTCGTTTCAAATTGTCCAGAAATCCACTCTCTACTGTTGAGCAACAAAACCAAGTAGGACACAGGTCTTGTACTTAAGCCAGATACTTTGACCTGACTATTTTTATGCTACCAAAGCACAATGGCTTGTTAAGAAAGCCAATATTAGGAAATCTTCTTTCACTGACTAGCAATAATGTGTTAGTAAACTTCAACACTTGAAAAAAAATTAAACTAGAGATTCCACTGTTTTTTTTTTTTTTTTCTTTTTGGTGAGACTGAAGTTTGACTGAGGGCTTTGTGCCTGCAAAGCAGGTGCTCTACCTCTTGAGCCACACCTATTTTGTTCTGGTTATTTTGGGGATGGGATCTCGTGAACTATTTGCCCAGGCTGGCCTCAAACCACGATCCTCCCAATTTCACCCTCTCAAGTAGCGAGGATTGCAGGCATGAGCCACTGACCCCGCCCAGGTAAGATTCCACTATTGCTTAAGAAAACAGTCTGTTCGCCCACTCTGATGAACAAGCAGTTAAGTCCTAGTTAAAATGATAAATAATAGAAGACTATAAACTCAGTAAAACAAATATGGTAATTTGAAACTAAAGGAAAATTTACCTTGCAATATACCAGCAGTATCTGTGACTGCTTATGGTACACTACTGATCCTGGAATAGCAGTCTGTCCTGTTAATTTTAGACCTGAAGAATGGAAAACAAACAAAAAAAAGATGTGAGAAACAATTATGCAACTTCATGGTACTTTTTTTTTTTTTTTTTTTTGCAATAAACTCAGGGCCTCATGCCTGCTAGGTGCTCTACCACTTGAACTACTCTCCCAGCCCTTTTTTGTGTTGGGTATTCTCAAGATAGGGTCTCACGAACTATTTGCCCAGGCTAGTCATGGTATTCTTAAAAATAAAAAAAAAAGCACCTTGGGAGGCACTACTCATGCTGGAGAGAACACAGGTGCTGGAGTCCTGACTTTGTGCTCTGGGTACGTCAGGAACCCAGGGGAAAGCATTCTATACACACAGGAATCGACATGCCTTTACAGTCTCCCAGTGATACTACAACGCTCAATCCAGTTTAGTATTGTCATTTTAAGGGAATAATTACCCAGCAGGGAAGTAATTTATGGACTTCAGCTGGCTTCCATCCCATGCACACAGGTCCAACCACCTTTGGACAGACCAGCTCACTCTGTGGCTTGCCTCCTTCTGTTTGCCGTATTGGGAAAGCACTGATGGGCCTCAGAATGGACCTGTGGTATGAAATGCTACACCTGGCCTAGATTCTCACTGAGCTGCCCAGATCTTTTCATTCTGAAATCTACCATAATGAAATTAATCAAGTGATTTTGCAATCCCAGAAAACCTTAATGTAGGAAATCACAGAGCTTAAAACGGCACAGGAACACCGCTATGCCTACTCCTCAGGTTCTTGTGATGATGAAATGAGAAAATGCATGTGAATGGGCCCTCCACAGTACAAGACAACTGAACGTAAAGTGTTATTACTGAGCTGAAACAAACTATAGGAATCCTTATTTTTAGTAAATGTGACATGGTAAAAACAGACACACTTCCAAAGAGACGCTAGTGAAAACATCTTCCATTTCAAAAGTTTCGCTATTCAAAAGTTAGTACCTTCAAGGACTGAATCATTAACTTCTACCAAATCCAGGAGTTTAATGGTACTCTCCATCCAGAGTGTCTGCAATGGAATCTGCAATTCAAATTAGAGAGAGATGAAAAAGGAACACAGGCGATCCAAGCCCTTTTGAACTACTGTTTTGGTGAGTATGACTTTTCTTCCACGTGCAGAGGAACTGGGAGCTCAGTCACTCACATTCTATGGAACAGAACACAAATGTGACCCTCTATATCAGTCTTTACAGGATTTGCGAGATCTTAAATATTATTTTAAAAGCAAGGTTTCTTTTTTCTTTTTCTTTCTTTCTCTTTTTTTTTTTTTTTTTTTGAGATGGATCTTGTTAGGTAGCTTAGGCTGGCCTCAAGCTTGCAATCCTTATACTCAGCCCCCGGAATATTGGGATTACATGCGTGAGCTACCAATGTTTATATCTTCATTAATATTTCCAAGTAAACATTTATGCTCATTACTAAAGATGTAAGAGTTACAGCACATAAAAAATTTAGAAAGTGATAGTATTCTGTAGTCTAACTTCCAGAGGCAACCACTATTGACAGTTTGATGTATATTTCTCTGTATTTTTTCTATAAATGTTATTTTACCATAATCTAGAACATGCTGTTTTACAAGGAACTTTTTGTTACTTAACCATAGCCAGCAGTATGCACTTATATATTCACCCTGTATCTGTTGCACAGTATTGTGTTTTATGAATGCATCAGTATGTATAATGGATCCTGCGTGATTGATAATTTCAATAATTCTCAGGTTTTTCTTGCTATTAGAAACAGCGGTTTCTTGCTATTATAAATGTGATAATAAAACGCCTCATGGATTTATCTTTGAGCATTTACATATTTCTGAAAATTAATTTTGTTTTTTAAGTGAAGTGCCTGAGCACCAACATTTTATTGTTAAACTGCCTTGATAAATGAAAAAAATAACAATGTATTGCTGTTTATATCAGTGAGGATGTGGAGATTTTCACATGTGTACTTGGATTTTCTATTTATTTGTCTGTAAACTCTGTGCTTTTTGCCCATTTAAAAAAACTGGGTTGTTCATCTCTTATTAATTTGTGAAAATCTTTCATATATTTAGGAAATTAGTCTTTTAATGTTTTTCTTTAAAAGTTTTAGCAAGGATTTATTTTAGTATAACAGGATAAAGTATGGGGGGAGGGAGAGAGAAAAAAGGAGAAACGTTTCCTGCCCTTATGCAGGAAGTGGGAACAAACCTCAAAATGCAACCTTTTAATTCCTGTATGTTATAAACATTTTCCTCAGTTTGTTGACTTGAGTCTTGTAGATATCATTTTTTTCTGTGCATAAGTTTATTATTTTAATGGAATTATAAGTCTTCTTCTCACATGAATTGAGTAGTTCACATCATGCTTTTAAAAGGCCTATCTACATTTCAAGATAGTTAATTCTAAAATTACTCAACCATGTTTTTTCCAGTCCTTGTGGTTTCATTTTTTACAAGTAAATCCTCGATCTGCCTAGATTTTGATTTAATTATAAGAAACACACATGAATTCTATTAAATTTTACACATACAGTATTGATAACTATATATGCATTGCTGTGCAGCAGCAGTCTGATTTTATTTTATACGCATGCATTTTCTCATCTTTTTAAAAAAATTTTTTTATTCATATGTGCATACAATATTTGGGTCATTTCTCCCCCCTTCCCCCCCCCTTCCCCCCCAACCCCTCGCTACCAGACAGAAACTATTCTGCCCTTATCTCTAATTTTGTTGTAGAGAGAGTGTAAGCAATAATAGGAAGGAACAAGGGTTTTTGCTGGTTGAGATAAGGATAGCTATACAGGGAGTTGACTCACATTAATTTCCTGTGCGTGTGTGTTACCTTCTAAATTAATTCTTCTCGAATTAAGCAGTCTGATTTTAAAAGACAGGGCTAGAGGGTTCGTTCCCCTGTCAATGGCTATTTACTGAAAAAATCCATCTGCCCCTCCCCCCAGTGTGAAATGCCACTTTGTCACTTTAACACATTTACAATATACCTGAGATCCTAGAACTTGATTGAAATATGCTGATAAAAATTAACATACTAGCAAGTAAGTTCTCTCAACTTTATGAACTAAAAAACATTTATTTTCAGACAGCATTTCAATCCTCTGTTTCAAAGATGAAGGAAGTGTGAAGTTCAGAGAAATGCAGCTACTTTCCCAAGGCTAGACACAGACGGTTAGTGGCAGTACCAGGAAGGGACTCTATTCTGACTCTCAGTTCAGTGCTCTTTCTATGACATCTCTTAAAGAAGACATATAACTTTCAGAAGAGTTTGGCTGTTATAATGATTTGAAGTTAAATCAAAGAATTAAATAAACTTGAAGAAAAAATTCATGGCAGTTCATAACCTCATCTGTGGCATTATTTTGCTTGCTGAGCATTCTTTCTTTCACCTACTCTCAATAAAAGTTCTGAAACAATTTTCATGCATATATTTTTTCCTTCAAAAGAAGTAAAAATATTTCTGAAACATGTTTACTAAAAAAAGATTTCTATATACTGAGAGTAATAAACATGCTAGGTACACATTTAGAACATGCAGTTCCTGCTCTTGGAGCAGTAAAAATCACCTTATCCTCAGAGCACTGCAGAAAGGAGAGGCATGGCCAGAGCACAACATTTCAGAATGTTTGGGGCTTTTTTTTTTATAGTATGGGGGTTTGAACTCTGGGCCTCACACTTGCTACGCAGGCACTCGACTGCTGGAGTCAGCAGAGCATAATCATTTCAGTGTCTACCATCATTACTGTCAAAACCACAGGCTTGCATAGATTTAAATCCATGTAATTTATTTTGACAGTTGTGAATGTGGTCATTAATTCCATTTCAGAAGTAAAAAAGCTGTAGACAAGGGTCTTGAACTCAGGGCCTTACCAGGCAAGTGCTCTATCACTTGAATCAAACCCTAGCCCTTACATAAGGTCTTGCTTTTTTTTTTTTTTTGTGGTACCACAGTTTTGTGCTTACTAGGCAGGCACTCTACCACTTGAGCCATCCTCCAGCCCTTTTTTGCTCTGGTTACTTTTGAGATATCTTGCTCTTTGCCCCAATCAGCCCGGACAACAATTCTCCTAGGCTTCCTGGGATGACAGGTGACCACCACCACACCCAGCTTTTTCTATTGAGATGGGATCTTGAGAACTTTTGCCCAGGCTGGCTTGGAACTATGATCCTCCCAATCTCAGCTTTCTAAGTAGCTGGGATGAGAGACACGTGCCACCATGCCCAGTTACTGGTTGAGATGGGGGTCTTGGGAACTTTTTGTCCAGCTGGCCTTGAATCACAATTCTTCTGATTCAGCCTCCCAAGCAGTTAGGATGATAGGTGTGAGCCACTGGTGCCAGGCAAGGTCTTGTTCTTAGTGAAAGGCAGCTCTAGGAATTAACCCAGCTCTGGCTCCAGAATAAGTGCTCAGTCTTTCATAGCACAAAGCTTTTCTTAGTGGATAAAGTGAACTGCAGAAGATGAGGGTCACTGTGCAGTTAGCTAGAGATTTCAAGCTACTGGCTTAAACTGAATCTCAGGAAGTAGTCTCCTTAGTATCTCCATGTGGATGTCTTCTAAGTATCTCAAACTTAACATGGCCAGATTTCCCTCCCCACATCTGTTCTTCCTTGTGTATCTTCATCTTAATTAAAGGGCCACTATTCACCGAGCTGCTCAGTCTAAAAAGCTGTGGACAATTCTAATTTCTCATTCCTTAATTCCCCATATTACATCATCAAATACCATCAACTTGAGACCTAGAGGTGTGACTCAAGCAGTAGAGTACCTTCCTTGCAAGTGTGAAGCCCTGAGTTCTGACAAAATAAAATAAAACTGTATTGCCAAAACAAAACAAGGAAAAGAGAAACCATCACCTTCACTTCCAAAGCATAGTCTGGATTTCTTCACTGTTATCACTGTTCCAAACTGCCATCATCTATCACCAGAGTCATATACCTGACCATTAGCCCCGTGCTCAAGCCCTCCAGTGACTTTCCACTGCACATCAATCCCACTTGCCTCTGACTTCTCCTGCTGCTCCCTACCCTGTTGGCTCTGCTCTGGTTCATTTCTATTCCTCAAACGCATCCAGATCTTTCTTATCTTGGGATTTGTTTTGATGTCTTTATTGAGAAGTAATTCATATACCATAAAATTTGCTCTTTTAAAGAATATAATTCAGTGATTTTCAGGTATACAGTTGTATGACCAATACCATTTTTTTACTTAATTTTAAAACATTTTCATCACCCCCCCACCAAAAAAAAAAAAAAAAAGAAAACCCAAGCAGACACTCTCCATTACCCTCTCTCTCAGCCTTTGGGTTCACCTATCCAGGACATTTCATATACATGGATTCATACAATATGAGCTTGTGAAGACTGGTTTCTTTCACTTAGCATAGTGCTTTGTAGCCTGTGATAATGACTATGGACTGATAATATTCTGTTGTATGGATATACCATTCTTATGCATCTATCCTTTGATGGGCCTTTGGGCTGTTTCTACTTTTTGTCTATTCTGAATAATGCTGTTATGAACAACCAGGTACAGATTTTTGTGTAGATATGTTTTCAATTCTCTTGAGTATTAACCCAGGAATGAATGAAAATGTTGGCTCATATAACCCTGTGTTTAACTTTCTGAGGAACTGACATTGGGTTTTCCATGGTGGTCACACCACTTCACATTCCCATCAGCTATGTATTAGGGTTTCAAATTTCTCCACATTCTTGTCAACATTTGTTCTTATGTGAGTTTTAAACCATAGCTATCCTTGTGGGTGTGAAGTAGAATCTCATTTTGGTTTTGATCTCCCTAAAAACTAATGAAGCTGACTGATCATCTTTTCATTTGCTTATTGGTCGTTAGTATATTTTCTGAGGAAAAATGTCTATTCAGACTCTGGGTCATTTTTGTGTAGAGTTTTAAGAGTTCTTTATATAGTCTAGATATATGATTTATAAATTATCTTCTCCCATTCTGTAGGTTGTCTTTTTACTTTCTCTTTTCTTCCTTCTTTTTTTTTTTTTTTGCAGTACTGGGAGTTAAACTCTGGGCCTCGTACTTGCTAGGCTGGGGCTGGCCTGGACTGTGCTCCTTTTATTTGTGCTTCCCTGTGTAGCTGGAAATGGCAGGGGCAAGCCACTATGCCCAGCTATTCCTTGAGAAGGGGGTCTCAAGAACTTTTTGCCTGGACTGGCCTTGAACTTCGATTCTCCCGATATTCGCCTCCCAAGTAGCTAGAATTACAGGCTTGATAGTATTTCCTTTGAAGTACAACAGTTCTTAATTTTGATAAAGTGCAATTTCACTATTTGTAGTATGGTCACTTATTTTTTTATATGTATGTAAGAAACCACTGCTTACTTGAATATCAAACATTTTATACTTGTTCTCTTCTAATAGTTTCATAGTTTCAACTTATGTTTAGTCTGAACTATTTAAGGTTTTTTTTTTTTTTTGGTACTGGGGCTTGAACTCAGGACCTTCACTTTGAGCCACTCTGCCAGCCCTTTTTTTTGTGTGATGTGTATTTTTGCGATAAGGTCTCGCAAACTGTTTGCCCAGGCTGGCTTTGAACAGCGATCCACTGGTGCCTGGCTTGAGTTAATTTTTATATATAATGTGAAGTAGGGATCCAAAATCATTCTTTTGATTTTGAATATTCAGCACCATTTGTTAAAAAGACTATTCTGTCTCCATCTGATTGTCTTGGGAACTTTTGTCAAAAAATCAGCTGACTATAAATGTAGTTTCTTTTTTGACTCTCAATCTAGTCCATTCTGCTATAGCCAATACCATACTGTCTTGATTAGTAAAGATTTATAGTAACTTTTCAAATCTATGTGAATTCTTCAACTTTGTTCTTTTTAAGACTGACGTGGTTATTCTGGGCCCTTTACAGTTTCATTTAGGCTCAGCTTGTTGATTTCTGTAAAGGAACAGCTAGGACTTATGTTAGAATTGTGTTGAACTGTAGGTCAATTTGGGGAGTAGAGACATCTTAACAATACTAAGTTCATCTAACCAACAAACATGGAGGTCTTTATATGCACTTGAGTCTTCTTTACTATTTATTAGCTCAAATGGTTTTTGTTTTTGGTTTTTGAGACAGGGTCTTGCTACGTACCCTAGGCTGTCCTCAACTAGCTATGTACCATAGGCTGGCCTTGAACTCTCAATTCTCCTGACTCAGACTCTAGTGTGCTGGGATTACAGCTGTATACCAGCACACCTGCCTGGAGATTACCTGCCTGGAGATTCCTCACGATTTTCTAAACATAATAAAATAATTTAATCTGTAAATACAGAGTTTTACTTCCTTTCCAATCTGATTGGCTTTTGTTTCTTTTTCCTTGTGGTTATGGATTGTTATGAAGTATCTCCCCCACCCCCAGCTAAAGGTTCATGCTTTACAGGCTTGGACCCCAGCAGGTGAATCTAATCATTGAGAGGTGATTGGATCATGAGGGCTCTGACCTAATCAATGGATTCATCTGATGGATTTATAATTTGATAGCATTATTGGGAAGCAGTGGAAACTTTTGCAAGAGGGGCAAAGTTGGAGAACATAAGTCATCAGGAGTATATCCTTGGGGGCTGTGTCTTGTCCCAGGCCCCTTCCTGACTCTCTGCTTCCTGGCTGCCATGAGGTTCTGACTTGACTCAGGCCCAAAGCAATGGAGCCAGGTGACCATGGGTTGAAACTTCTGGAAATTGAGGGATGGGAGTGGGAGAAGGGGGACAAAATAAAATCTTTCTTCCTTTAAACTATTTCTCTCAACCTGGCTCTGTTGCATAATGGATATAAACTGCTTCTCCCAGGCATATGTTGCAGTGATGAAAAGCTAAGAAAGCTGCCTAACTGCCCTGGCTACAATCTCTGAAACAAGTATCTTTATCTTGTTTCCAACCATAGGAAGAAAGCTTTCAGTCTTTCATTAACCATGATGTTAGCTGTGGTTTTTGGGGATTCTTTTTCTGAGATATTCTTTATCAGATTGAGAAAGTGCTCTTCTAGGCAGGCACTCTACCATTTGACCCACAACTCCATGAAACAGTGTTGGAGTTTATCAAATGCTTTTTCTGCATCTATTGAGGCAATGGCTTTTGGCTAATATTAATATGGTGTATCACATTCTATTAATATGGTGCATCAAACTGATGTATTTTCATGTTGAAAATGTGTATTTTATCTTCATGTTGAATCATTCTTGCATTCTTCAGAAAAGCTCAGTTGATTATGGTGTAAAATTCTTTTTCTTATATGTTGTTAGATTTAGTATGCTAACCCTACTTAGGATTTTTGCCTCTATATTCATAGAGAGATTGATCTATAGTTTTCTTTTCTTGTAATTCTTTAACTGGGATAGCCCACTTTGAATTTTATATTGTTCCTTCTGCCTAGACTACTGCTCTCATCTTGGCATGGCTGGTTCCTTATTGTCTTTCAGACCTTAGGTTAAATATCAGTTCAGAGGGGCCTTTTCCATGTACTCAATAACTTCATTATTCTATTATATTTTAATTTTTATCAAGGACCTATCACACTATCTGAATTTTTCTAATTTGCTTTTTTGTTGTCTATTCCATATCACCAGTGTCTCTAAGGAGATACTGACAGATGTATTGAAAAAAATATAGGAGTTAGAAGACTCATTCATTCTTTGGTGACTGGTCACCCCAAAGTTAGTCATCCTTTATCTATAAAATGGGATAGTAAAACTTGGTATGGGAAACTGCAAAATGAGTATTTGAAATGATATGTGAATTCTAAGTACCTAGCACATTGCCTGATGTTAAATGGGCCTTCTATAAGGATTTTGGTTAGTGAATGAATAAAAGCAGCTGTCACTTAATGCTACCTAGATATTGTACTAGATAAAATAAGGCTCAGAGGTTAAATCACTTTCCCAAGTTCACAGAGTTAGAAAGTAGCAGGGACAAGGTGGAAGCTAGCTCAATCTGGCTCTGAAATCCACATTCTCTGGTTCCACTGCGCTCCATAAGAAAAGAGCAGGATCTGAAGTCAGACAGACATGGTTCAGAGCCTCACCGACTCTCATTAGCCAGAAGAGAACTAGGAAACATTCAGTAACAATTCCTGAGTCCTTATCTACTTTAAGCCTCAATTCCCTTGACTTTAAGATGGAATTATAATAGTAAGTACAATATGAGGTTATGGTCCTCACTCCCAAACCTGACATGCTATAGCTATCTAGCAGCAGTTCCTGATCTCTTCCAGCACTGACATCACAGGCATTCCATTCAAAACCATATACTTGCTGGCATGGTGGCACAGGTCTATAATCCTAGTTAATCAGGAGAGGAAGACAAGAGGATCCCAAGTTCAAGGCCAGTCCAGGCAAAAGTTAGCTATAAGACCCAATTTCAAAAACCAAATACAAACAAAAGGGGTAGGGGCATGGCTCAAGTGTAGAGCACTTGCTCACACTTTTTAAGGAAGTGTGAAGCTGTGGGTCAATCCCCAGCACCTCAAAAACAAACAAAAACCCCCAAAAAACTACTGTCAACACAGTTAGTAAACCCAGAATTCAAATAATACAAGTGGCTACCAAAGTAAAATTTAAAATCTCACACACACATTAAGGAACTGAATTTAACTCAGATGTTTGCAAGCAGAGGCAGGATAATCTGGAGTTCAAGGCCAGCCTGGGCTATATAGTGAGACCCTGTCTCAAAAAACAACAACAACAAAAAGAATCTGATTGTGCTGGGCACCAGTGGTCATGCCTGTAATCCTGGCTACTCAGGAGGCAGAGATCAGAAAGATGATGTTTTGAAACCAGCCCAGACAAGAAGTTTGAGAGACCTGATCTTGTAAAATACTGGCCAGGGGCATAAAAATGTATTAAAAAAAATTGGATTAGGAGTTAGAAGACTTAGATTCATTATTTGGTGACTGGCCTCCCCTAAGTCTTTGAAATTGAGACAATAAAACTTGGTTATGGGAAACTGCAAAATGTATATTTGAAAGTGCTTTGTAAATTCCAAGGCCTCTAAGAAAACTTAAAAGTTTAAAGAACATTTAAAAACCAAATTTCGTTTCCTAGGTTTAATTTTAAGATTCATTCCTAAAACAAAATACTCAGAAAGCAAATTACACACCACAAAAAAACCAATGAGGTAAAACTGCAACTTACTATGTTTCCAATGGCACGATAAAGTCTGAGTATTTGCTCTGAAGTTTGTTCCTCCCATTTTACACAGCTGATACCTGCAGAAATCTTAGGGGCTACAAGATAAAGCCAAGAGCAAGAATGAATATCAGGTTCCACATGCACGAATTGATACATGCTGATGCTGAATACTAAGAATGAGAGAATATTCACTGTAAGAGTCTCTCAACTTTTGTATATACTCAAAATTTTCCACAATATGAAGTAAAAATAAATAATCCCAAAAAAGTCCTAAAAGAAAACGTGAGTGAACTACTTTATAACATGGGTACAGAAAATGGTCTTCTAACTATGACAAGTCCAGAAGCAACTGAAGATCAATAAATTAGACTATACAAAAATAAGCTTTAAAAAATAAGATAAAAAAGAAATGTCATAAGTTAACTAAAAAAAAAAAAAAAAATTGAAAGAACACGGAGGGCTAATTTCTGTACTTTATACTTCTGTGTAAAAACTGAGAAAAGACCAAAACCTGATAGAAATATGGGCCAAAGGTATGATACCTTCTAGAAAAAGTAAATGCAAATAGTCCTTAAACACATGAAAATATCCTCACATCACTCACAGAAATAATGTACATTAAAATGTCTTCAAGATACATTTTTGTTTGTTTTGAGACAGGGTCTCACTATGTAGCCCAGGGTGGCCTTGAATTCAATCCTGCTTCAGTCTCCTAAATTCTGGGATTATATGTGTGCCCCACCACACCTGACTACAGTTTCTTATCTATTGAATTAGTTAGTGTCATGTGCATGAAGTCATTCATAGTAGTAGTATCTGAAACAGCAAAAGACTGGAAACAATCCAAATACCCATCAATAGGTAATTGTTGAATGAAATGATATATCCACACACTGAGATCTATGCTGCCTTAAAAAAGAAAGAGGAAAATCTCTTCTTACTAGTAGAAGGTAGTCTCCAAGATATACTGTTAAGTGAACAGGGGAACAGCAGAATAGAGTATATTTTATGCTGAAAAATTACATGGTTTTGTTTATTTTGGCAAAAGCAAACATGGAAGGCTAAATGAGAACCTAATAAAATGTTTTTTTGGGTCCAGAGCCAGGTTGTAGCCCACCCAGGCTCCAACAGGAGTTGGCTCACCTAGAATGCTTCTGGAGGTTCTCCACTGAGGCACCATTATTGAGTTGAACCCTCAGATACTATAGAAAATATCAAGGCCAAGATCCAGGATAAGGAAGGAATTTCTCCTGATCATCAAAGACTTATCTTTGCTGGTAAGCAACTGGAAGATGGATGTACTGTGTCAGACTACAACACTCAAAGGGAGTCCACCCTTCATCTGGTGTTGAAACCTTGTGGTGGTACTACAAGGTTAGTGTATGTACTAAGGCAGACATACAAGCATTTCTCAAACTCATCTCAATAGGCATATTTGGAGCAAAGAGAGCCTTTCTCCACCTTCAGGACAATGATTTTTAGTATGCATTCCTTTCAAAAACCTAACTCAGTTCACACAGGGAAACAATGTGCTAGAAGCTACTGCTTCTAACCACTCCCAAAAATAAGCATAAGAGAAAGGAGGTTAAAAGGGCTGTCCTGAAATACTGTAAGGTCGATTACAATGGCAAAATTGGCCTGGGTCATGAGTGACCTTCAGATGAATGTGGTGCTGGAGTTTTTATGGCTAGCCACTTGACAGACATTACTGTTATAAGTGTTGTCTGACTTACAGCTTCAATAAACTGAAAAATAAGTAATTGTGTATGGATTGATAAAAGATGTAAACTAAAATAAATATGTAAATAAAATGGTTCTCAGTAGAAGGAAGGATACAGGACTGGATGAGCTAAGGATGGAAGTGGAATTCTTCTAAGTATACCTTTTAAATGGTATAATTTTTGAATCCTATGAATTTGTTTTACAAATTCAAAAAACAAAATTTAATCATAAGGAGAAATAAAGCAAGTCCTAAATTGGAAACAAACTGAAATAAACCTGTGCAACAAAACCACATAGAAATACTACTTATCTCAGTAAGGTTTTATTTTGTATAGTTTTTTTTTGTTGGTACTGGGATTTGAACTCAGGATCTCAAGCCTATTGGCAGGTGCTCTTCCACTTAAGCCTTATCCTTAAGCCTTATCCACTTTACCCTTGAGTAAATTTTGAACACAGTAATTTTTTCTTTTTTGGTGGGACTAGAGTTTGAACTCAAGGCTTCACCCTTGCAAAGCAGGCACTCTACTGTGTGAGCCACACCTTCCAGTCCATTTTGGTCTGGTTATTTTGGAGATGGGGTCTTGCAAACTATTTGCCTGGGCTGGCCTTGAACTGGCTCCCAATCTCAATCTCAGTCCCCTAAGTAGCTAAGGTGTGAGCCACCAGTGCCCAGCTTGAACACAGTAATTTGACTATGTACTTTTGGTATGATTATATTCTAAGGTCAAAGAAGAAAAACTGCAAAGAAATCTTCCTTAGCAATTTTAATTAGTAGAAATATTGGTATTATATCGAAACTATTATATGCATAGCAAATAAATATTTGCACAGTGCCAGAGTATTGCCCAGTATTTATTTGCTAATTGCAAAAGGAGAAACACATCTTTACATTGGAAAGTGACATTGGGCACTGTCTCAAGTAAGTGATTAAACTTGGCTTCACTAGCTTTAATGCAACCTAGGATCATAGATTACTGAAGTGATACCATAAGATTGGAAGGGATGAAAGCAAGACTTCTCTGAGTCTGTCCTTTTATATTTTAAATTCTTCTTTTTTTTGGTGGCTGGGGAGCGGGCAGTGAAATGGTCTCACTAGGCTGGCTTCAGACTCATGATTATTCTACCTCTACGTCCCAAGTACTGGGATTACAGGTGCAGACCACTACTCCCAGCTAATATTAACTTTTAAATCAAACGTATGCTTTATGTATTCAAAAAATAAAGTCATAGAGAAAAATAAAAGCATGTCTAAACTAAAATACATGTTACTGAAACATAGGTCATCTATGACATACTCTCCAAAAACCTTAATCATGAACCTAGTCAAACCTTTAGAATTTCTAATTTATAGGAAAAATACAGGATAAAAAAAACAAATGAAACTACTCTGGAAGGAAACAAATCAGATAACTGGCCTGGTTTCTTTAAAAAGTCAATGGCAGCTGAATATAGGTGGCTCATTCCTGTGATCCTAGCTATCTGGAAGGCTGAGATCAGGAGAATCACGGTTCAAGGTCAGCATGGGAAAATCGTTTGTGATGCCGTATCCCCAAAATAAGCAGAGCAAAATGGACTGGACATGTGACTCATGGTAGAGCTCGTACTTTGCAAGTGTGAAGCCCAGAGTTCAAAACCACAGTCCTACCAAAAAAAATTTTTTTTAAAAATCAATGACATAAAGGGGAAAGACAGTGGAAGAATTATTTTAGATTAAAGGAACAAAAAGACATAAAACTAGTAACTGGATTCTAAGGTATTTTTTTTTTAATTAAAAAAATTTTTTTGCAGTGCCGGGGAACTGAACCAAGGGCACTGGGTACATATGCTAGACAAGCACTCAGAAGCTACACCTACAGCCCTTGTTTTATTTCTAAACTTTTTCAAAGAAAATTACATTTTGGGGGACTAGTTAGGATTACAGCTGAGCCTGAGAGTGTGGTGTAAGTTACCCCTCTGCTGCCAACTTGGTTTTTTTTTCCCCTCTTTGTTTTTAAGAGGGAATAAGTGACTATGCTTATAAACTTTGAATTTAATAAAATCATCCTGAGGTTACTTGTTTTATGTCTGAAAAGGATTACAATTGAGAAAAACAAAGATTCAAACAAAGGGAAAAATATGCTCCCTGGATCCTAGGTTATTTTTTTAAAGCTATAAAATATATTTTTAGAAAATTAGGAAAATTTAAGTATGGACTGGCTATGGACACTATCAGGGAATTGCTCATTTTTCTTAGAAAATGCATGCTAAAATATTTAGAGGTGAAAAGTCATTATTCATATTTGCAAGTGAGAAAGCAAAGCCTAAAATTTATACACTAAACATACACATAGAAAAAAATTATGTCCAAACAATAATTGTTGATTTGGGGGTAAACTGATATTGGTCACACTTGTCTTTCAATTAATCTCTATGCTTAATATTTTCAAAATAAAAAGATGGAAAATTGTTGAGGCATGAGGTTATGTACTAAGAGGGAGAACTTACTAAGCTTTCTTTGGGAAAGGACCTACCAGTGGGCATTCAATCTCATCCAAATTAAGGAACAGTACAGTGAAGGAGTCAGAGTGTTCAGGCACCACCATGATAAACGAAACCTTGGGTGAGATGTAAAAGTGTCTGTGGCTATCACTCACCATAGGTCATCCCTTCGGTTGGCTGCTGCCTTCCATTCTTCAGACTGTCAGGCAAATTTTTCAAAACTGAAATAAGCTACAAAAAGAAAGAGATTAAGACAGAGCATTTGTAGGGATTAATTTGATCAAAGTACATATGCTTTCATGTAAGTATCACAGTGAAACACCTTTGTATGCTAGAGAGAGAAAGAGAGAGAGAACATAATATATTCAAGATGAACAGAAGAACAAAACAGAAATACATTACAGTTCAGTACCATGAAATTACCTCTAACTTAAGAGTCAGCTGTGGGGTAAGGTAGCAAATTGGCATAAGCTGTAAGTATGCATGTGGACGGGTGGAGTTTCAGGGAGCATGCTCTCTGCAGAGCACAGGTCATGCTTTGCTTCCACAGAATGCTGGGCTTTGCCTGGCTGCAAAGCTCTCAGCATCAGGACAGTTTGTGCTCAGCTAGTTACACACTAACTCTATAGAAGGCAGTGGGGCCTAACAGAAGGAGAATGTACCCTGGAGTCACACAGCTCTGGGTTCAAGTCCCACTTCCACTATATAACTAGCTGTCTCACTCTGGAAAAGTTATTTAACTTGCCTGTGGCTTTTAATGTCATCATCTGTGAAACAACTGACAGCAACAATGACCTCAAAGGTTTGTTGGGAAGGTTAAAAAAAATCCAGAGTATCTAAAACAGTCTTGGTACATGAGCCAATGCTCAATAAATGGTAATCACTGTTGTAAGACCACTTGCAAGGAAGTGCCGGGAAGAAAAGAACCATCTATATAGTTAGGAAAATTCATCCTGCTGTGAAAGTTAACGAGTTCATATGAAAAGCATGAACCTAGTCCTCAAGCATTTACCAGACCCCACTATTGCAGACTGACTCAGATACACAAAGCTACAGACAGAAGGATCATCTGTAGGTGGGGTAGTCAGTAGAATTCCAGTGCAATTGATGCAGAAGCCTGGAGCCTAGGTTAGTGAGAGGAATGCTGAGTCACTTAGAAAATGGCTCAGTGATGAGAGTGAGGAGAGGGAACCAGGGGGAACAGTCTAAAGGTCTCACTATGAAATGCAGTGGGCATGGAGAATCACCTGTTTTATTTGAAAGCCTTACATTAAGTAGCCACTCTGGGTTTTTTTTTTTTTTGCAGTACTGGGGTTTGAACTCAGAGCTTCATGCTTGCAATGCAGGCATTCTACCTCTTGAGCCACACCTCCAGTCCTTAAGTAGCTACTGTGCAAATCCTCAAACAACACAAATGCCAGGCTAATTTTCAGAAAGCCAGGGAGAGAAACCACTTTTTTTTTAAATGCAGCTTAAAATTACAAATCATAACATTTTTCTTTTCCTCATACCCACTGAGGAAACCCACTAACTGAATGAAAAGCAGTGAATATTGGAGAACTGTACCATGTTGGCACCCAGTCTTGATAATACTGCTTCTAATTCCTTTGCGGTGCTCTTTGGTGGCACAAGGATGGTCTCTTGATTGAGAATTGGGCCTACATCAAATCTAGCAAAAAATCAAAAGCAAATAATAACATGATAATTATTTCTAAGGGTCAATATGTTTGTTGAGAGAGCACAAACAGTACACTGCAGGTCACAAATTTAAATGACAGTCATTAGTGAGGGAGAAATGTCAGTCAGAAAGAGGAGCAAAACATGGCGTGTATTTAGATTTTTCTTTCTTTTCTGTGTGTGTTTTTGTTTTTCAGATAGGTCTTGCTATGTTGCTCAGGCTGGGCTCAAGCTATCCTCCCGTCTCTGCCTCCTGAGTAGCAGAAGTAGACTACACTAGTCTAGAGACATGTGATTTCTCCCCGCCAATTCATGTTGGGGATAGAACCCAGGGTTTTGCACACATTAGGCAAGTCTTCTCCCACTGAGCTGTGTCCCCAGTGAGTCTTACTATATAGCTCAGGCTAGCGTTGAACTCTCAATCCTCCTGTGTCTGTCCTGGAGTGCTAGGATTACAAGCATGTCCACAATTCCCAGCATATATTTAGATTTTAAACTAATCTTTTTCCTAAAGGAAAAAAGTATGGCTGGGCTCTGGTGATTCACACCTGTAATCCTAGCTACCTAAGAGGCAGAGATCAGGAGAATCTTGGTTCCAGGACAGTCCAAGCAAATAGCTCTCAAGACACTATCTTGGTAGAATGGCTCAAGTGTAGCGTGACTGCATGAGACCCTGAGTTCAAATCCCAGGACCGCCAAGAATAAAAGAAAAAGAAATAGGGTTTATTTTAAAACTTTAACTGTGTGGTTCTGTTAATTATATTTCTAACCACTGAAGTTTTTTGCTAGCTTTTTAATTTAGTTTTTAAAAACAAAATCGTAGTCAAGTTTTCTTTGTCTCAATTTATTAGTTAAAAGTATATGCAGAAGTATTTATAATGAGTGAAATGACAGGATCTCTCTAGTTAAGAAGAAAAGTGCTGGGCACCAGTGCTCACACTTGTAATCCTAGCTACTTCAGAGGCTGAGATTGGGAGGATCAAGTTTGAGGCCATCCCAGGCAAATAGTTCAAGAGAACACATCTCTAAAATAACCACAGCAAGGGCTGGCAAGTGGCTCAAGTGGTAGAACTCCTGCCTAGCAAGCATACGGCCCTCAGTTCAAACCCCAATGCCACCAAAATAACTAGAGCAAAATGGACTGGAGATGTGGTTCAGGTATGAAGCCCTGAATTCAAACCCTAGTCACACCAAAAAAAAAAAAAAAAAACAAAGAAAGAAAAGTATGCTAATCCAAGGAATGAGATTAACTGCATATTGACCCTGTAAGTCTGGGGAATAGATACATTTTCTTCACTTTTACATATGTTTGAAAAGTTCCTTAACAAAAACTTCTTTTTAAAGTTAATTCATTGTCCTTAGGACAGCCCAGCCTCCAGAACTCAAAAACTTGGTTGCTATCTTTGGGTAGAAAAAAAAAGAGAAAAGAAGAAAATTAAACATAGTCAATTTTTCCTATCATGGGCACAAAATTTAGGGTATTACAAGGGAGGTAACAACTAAGCCACCTAGGAATAAAACAGGGCCTCACAGGCAGGATGACAGTGGAATGGGGTTCTGATGGATGCTTAGGAGTTCATTAAGCAAATAATAAATGCATTCCACTCAAAGGGCTTAGCCTGTCCAAAGGCACAAAAATTTTAAGTGCTTGGCATATCAATGAAATTAGGATACTTTGGGGCTGGGGTGTGGCTCCAGTGGCAAAGCAATTGCCTAGCAAGTGGGAGAGCCTTAGTTCAAATCCCAATACCATCAAAAAAGAAAAAATAATTAGGATACTTTCTGCTGAACTGTGTTGACTACTAAAGACAACTTATTGGATCTAATAATAAGAAGATAGCTCTTGGGCTGGGATGTAGCTCAGTGGTAGAGTGCTGGCCTAGCATGCTCGAGGCCCTGGGTTTAATCCCAGCACAAAAAAAAAAAGAAGAAAGAATATAGCTCCTAACCAACGAATGATGGGATTATTTCAATCAATTGCTGATGGATTTATGCACACTACCTACTCTACTCAAAGTGCAAGACCAGCACTAAAGCAGCATAACTAGAAGGACCTCTTCACACCAACATTTCTAGCACATTGAGCGTCTTGAGTTCTACCCATTTTAATAGGGTTTTACTAGGTTCCATAGGCAGGCCTCAGGCTACAAGGGCTCAAGCAATCCTTCCGCTTTGGCTTACTGGGTATGTGGAATTTTAGGTTTGTACCACCACACACACCTGGTCAAGAAATGAGGTTTTATTGTTTGTTTGTTCTGTGGTACTGAGGTTTGAACTCGGGGCCTCATGCTTGCTAGGCAAGCACTCTACCACTTGAGCCATACCCGAGTCCCTAAGGAGTTTTAATAAAATGTTTATTATGAAAAGTTAGAAACACTCACAAAAACAGAGTGAACAATCTAATGAATTCTCACATACAACCACCTAGATCTTAGAATTATCAGTTTTGCCTTCTTGTTTCATTTACTCTCTCCCCTTTTTCTTGAAGTAAATTAGGTTCCAGATAAAATGTTCTGTGAACTTGTATACTATTTTCTATGAGAAAATTAGTCAGTAATAGGCAGAGGCTTAATAAATGCCTCAAATAACTTTAATAATTATCTCTAAATTGTAGGTATGATAGAAAAAAATTAATTCTAAGACAACTACAATATACATTGGCATAGGACAAGATATTCTTACTTTAGGCTCCAAAAATTTTTTCCATAGTTTGGAAACCAAGACCAGCAGAACTGAGATTCAAAACAACAAATGTGCAAAAACCCATCTCTCAATTACACAATGTCTTTTTATAGAAATACAGGTATTAATAATGTATTTCAACTAACAAGTTAAATTTTACAACTTCAAGAGACATTGAATATGCTGGGTGTGGTGGAGCAAGTCTCTAATACCAGCTACTTGGGAGGTGGAGATAGAAGGATCATGGTTCAAGGCTGGCCAGGGCAAAATTAGGAGACTCTATCTGAAAAACAAACTAAAAGCAAAAGGGCTGGGGGAGGTTCAAGTTTAGAGCATTTAGTGTGAAGTACTGAAGTACTGAGTTCAATTCCCAGGTCTACAAAAGAAAGCAAGAAAGAGAGAATGACTACATAAATACCAAAAGACTTAGAGCTTTGTTAGAAACCAAGAAAAAATAGAAAGAATATAAAAGCAAAGAAGTACTCCAGAAGTTACAGAAATGAGTGAGCTTTGTCCATTCACCTATTCCCCCTAGACCCCGAGCAGACAGATATCACATTTAAAAGTCATGAAAATCTCAAGAAAAGAAAATATGCTACCTTTTAGGTCTAATTTGCATAATCGTTACTCCAGTAACGGGGTCTCCATGAAGCACTGTATGGATTATGGGGGCTGGACCCCGCCACCTCGGGAGGCAACTCGGATGGACATTCAATATGCCACTGGTCAGAAATTGCAGAAATTAGTGTGGGAAACTGACAGCCAAAGCTAGTCTTGTTAAAAGAAAAAGTCACAGATAAATTCACTCTCTCACCATAAGAAACCAATGAAACTTAATTAAAATAAATCAAGCACAACTATTTATTCACTATTCCAAAGATGTTCGACAACAGTTCATGATATCTGGGGTTCATAAATGAAAGTGTAAGATACATTCAAATCCTATTATGCATTTCACAGGCAAACCAAACTGTACTTTCAGTTTATGCATACAATTTGTCTTACTTCGCTAGTTTACATATAAAATTCCTAAAACAAGCTCCTGAATCCCTGTCAATCTGTTCACCTTTGCCATTTATACCAGTACAACCGTCACCCAATGATGAGCAAGTAAATACTTCACTTACCTGTCATTGGTTTAATGATGTCTCCATCAGTGTGAGTACACGTGTGTGTACGTGTGTGTGTGTGTGTGTGTGTGTTCAGCATAGTCCCATCCATTGAACAAATTGTGACTAAGCACAATTCATGTGCAGCCACTGTTCTAAGTGCTAAGGACACAAACACCAGTAGCCAAACAGAAAATAAAATCCTGCCGTTAGAGAGCAAAGAATGGGAGGTGAGCAGTAACAACAGAATTTGTATGGAAAGTTCACCAGATGGGGCTCAGGGTTCTGGAGAAAAATAAGCAGAGAACAGGACAGGAGTATCAGGTAGGTGGTTACAATTTTATTAGTAGTCTTAGAAGGTTTTACCAATAGGACGACACCTGGGCAAAGACACAAAGGAGTAAGAGACTAAGCCTTATGACAAGGATACATGCTGAGAAATGTGGTCTTAGGTGAACTGCAGAACATGAGAGTGTACTTACACAAACTAAGATGGCTACAATGGTACTAGATTATATGACTTATCAACTATGGTGGGTAGCTACCATATATGTAGTCTATCCTTCTCTGAACTGTCATTTGGGGCACATACCGATATAAGAGAAAAGCCTTCCAGGAAAAGGGAACAATAAAGTGTCGGGAGTGGAATGAATCAGAAGGATCTTACGTGAGGGCAGAAAGCCATGGAGTCTGTCTTATGCCAACATAAAGACTTTTTTTTTTTTTTTTTTTTTACAGTACTGGAGTTTGAACTCAGGGCTTTGTGCTTGCTGGGCAGGTGTTCTACCACTTTAGTTACAGCTCCAGCCCTTTTTGCTCTGTCATTTTTGAGACAGGTTCTCATTTTTTTTTTTTTTTTTGCCTTGGTGTGCCTGGATTGTAATCCTATTTATGCTTCCCATAGTAGCTGGGATGACAGGTGCATACATCACACCCAGCTTTTTCTGTTGAGATGGAATCTGAAAACTTTTTTACCCAGGCTGACCTGGAGCCACAAATTTCTCAATCTTAGCCTAGCTGGGATAACAAGTGCATGCCACTGAACCCAGCTATTGGTTGAGAGGGGGGGTCTCGCTGTTTGCCCTAGGTGGCCTCAAACCTCAATCCTCTGGATCACTAGGATTACAGGTCAGAGCAACCAGCATCTAGCAAGACTAACTTATTCTGAGTGAGATGAAAACTACCAGAGGATTTTGAGCAGAGTGACATGATGTGATTTATGCTTTACAAGGATCACTTTGGCTGCTGGGTTGTAAAAGACTGAGAGGGCCAAATATAACAGCAGAGACCAGTGAAGCTACTGTAGTACTGTAGGTGAGAACGGCAGTAGTGTAAGTGATGGGGTACGTCTAGACAGATTCTGAAGGCAATATTTTCTGATGGACTGGATATGGGATATGAGATAAACCAAGAATGACTGCAGGGTTTGAAGTCCAAACAACTAGAAGAATACAGTTGCCATTATTGAGATCAAAGACTTGGGGAGGTTTTAAGTATCCTATGTTAGGTGTGTATCAGACGTCCAAGCAGAACTATGGGCAAGGCAGTGGATCCTGGAGTTCAGGCAGAGCGCTAGGCTGGAGCTGTCCATACACAGGGTGGACAAAGCTCATAGAAAATGATAAGGAGCTTAAGACACTTTGATAATTCATGCCACACATAAAATCTTATTTTAAAAGTACATACTAAAGAAAGCACAGTTAAGAGTTCAAACCATGGCATTTCAGATGCTCAGTCCATTTATAAACATCATGGTCTCTATACTGTATCTTCTTAGAAACAAAACTTACTAGGGAAATTTAAGAATAAGAGCCTCACTCAAAAGTCGGCCAAAGGAAGCCACTACTCCAACATCATACTCTCCAGACCCCACGTCTGGCCACTCGTGCACCGGAAGCTGAGACTGCACGGCGTATTGCTTCACTGGTAGTCCTTTCGGGGATGGCGAAGGCACAGTTACCACCTCCAATTTTTCAATTAACTCTTCCTCTTTGTTATCTCTAAGTTAGGAAATTGGGAGAAAAATGTACGTCAGGGCAATGACTCAAGCTAAACTTTACATAGCATAGGTATTTTTATGATTAAACTCATGAAGCATTTAGGGCTAAATGATTAAAATTGGTGCAACCAAGAGTTTGGGTTTTGTTTTTGAATTTACTTTTAATTATTTGAAATTTAAAGAGCCACATGTGGCTAGTGGCTACAACTTGGACAGCAATGCTCTAGAGATTTCCTGTGCATACAGAAACATACTATTTTACACAATTGGGATATTACACATATCATTCTGCATTTTATTTTTTCCTCTTAACAGTGCCATATATGCTATTAGAGTCTTTGAAATAATTTAAATACACACATGCTTATATATAAATTGAACATTTCTAGAATAAGAAACTGAAAACAGTGATTATTTCTGGAGAGAGGAACTGGAAAATGGGAGGCAGAGGTAGAAAGAAAGAACTTTTTACTGTGTTGAGTTGATGCAATTTTATACTAACTATGTTGTACTCAAATATTACTGAAGATATGACTCACGTGGTAGAGTACCTGCCTAGCAAAGCACAATGCGAAGCCCTGAGTTCAAATCCAGTACCACAGAAGAAACAACAACAAAAAAACAATACTTAAAACAAACAAAAAACATACCATGGCATCATTCCATGGCTGTCTTGTCTTCACCTGTTGCACAGTATACCAGTATTCAGGGGCTGTACATTTATCTATTAAACAGGTATCACATGTGCATGTTAAAGAGCTATGAGAAAAGGAGGAGCGTGAGCCAGACCTCTAAAAAGAAAGCTTAATGGCTTAATGGAGCTGCCAAATGCAGCAGCATCAGAAGGGTCAGGATATGCAGGAGAGATACCTGTGGCAACAGGGAAACAGGATATGGAGAGTGTCCAAAGCGAACATGGGGTAAACGGTGTTTCAGGTGTGTGTTCACAGGGGAGTGTGGACGGAGAAATATGATATAAAAGGGGACTGATGAGGGATTCAGTATAACAAGGGCTGCTGTGAAGTATTTGTAGGGAGAAGATAGTGTGAGATGATAATAATGGGGTGGGGGAGGGACGCCAGGAAAACATGGAGTGGGGAAATAAAAAACCTGGCTGGGTGGGGGATGGAGGCAGAGAGGAAGACCTGGTATTGCCATCACCGACCACGGACTTTCAGGACAGGTTGGATGTCACAGAATCGTTTTTCTCCAGGAAACAAGGTTTAGTAAATTTTCCACATGCTAAATGTATTCCTAAGAGTTCGTTTATGAGTCTATCAATTTGGAAAGAGTTCGTTTTGGGACTATGTCCTTGTTTCAGCCCCAGGAACCTGGGTCCTGTTGTGTACCAGGCGCTCTGGCGTGAGACCCGGGTGAGCAGGTGTGCACCTGCTCAGGCCAAGCCGGTAGACCTGGAGGCCCCAGCCTAGGTGGCTGGGAGGCAGCAGGAAAACCTGGTAAGACGGAAACTCTCAAGTCAGAGCTGGTGACCCTGGACAACCGCTTAGCCTGAGTCCAGTTTCCTCCACCGCAAAACGTGCGTGGAGGTGACGGGACTGGCTTGGGAGGCCGTGGTTCGCGGGGGCTCCGCGGCGCCTGGATGGAAGGCGGCAGGCGGGGCGGGGAACGGGGTGCAGACGGCCGGCGCTGGGCGCCCCGGGGCTGACCCTGGTGCGACGCACCTTCCGGCGCTCTGGGCCCGGCCGCCACAGCGCCGCACGTCAGAGCGACGAGGAGCCCAAGGCCCTTGAGGGTCGGCCGCGCAGCTTCGGCCCCCGGGCCCCGGCCCCGACCCCGACCCCTGCCCGGTACCTGGCAGCGTGCAGTGCCTGCAGCGCCTCCCGGGCGAACTGGTCTGTGCCGAAGAAAAGCACCCGCCAGGGCGGCTTCTCGCGAACTCGGGCGTCTCGGCCGCGCTCACCTCCGGAGAACCCGCCAAGGTCGGCCTGCGCCCGCCACAGTAAACACGGCCTCCCGCCCGCCACGCCGCGGGCCAACCCCGGAACCCAGCAGCACCGTACCAGACCCTTCATTGCCCAGGCCGACGGCGGCCCACGCTGCGCAGGCGCGTCGGGGCGGGGCCGGGAGGAAGCCGGGTGGGCGGGGCCCTCAAGTGACGGGGGCGGGACCGAACTGACTGGGGGCGTGGCTGCCTGAAGGGGTCCAGAGTTGCGTTGATCTGCGCTATGTAGTCAGTACCCGCAAAGAATCCTTTCGGGAACAAATCATATGTTTTCAGGCAATGAAATTTCACTCATGTAATTCTGTATCATTTTCTCAGCCATTATGATACCTAATATTTGCTGAGTACTTACTATGTGCTACGACTTGGCTACATGCTTTATGCCCATTATTTCAATTAATTCTCCTGTTAAGTATCCGAGGTAGATATTACTACAATCATTTTACTGAAAAAACCTGACGCTCAGAGAGGTTAAGGGCTTACACATGTCTAAAGTCCACACATCTAGGAAACACCAGAGCAGGGGTAGGACTCGTGTAGCTCCTCCAATACCTGTGACACCGTTTGGCCCTCAGGCAATCCTATGTATTAGACAAGTCAGGGTCCCCAACTTGCACCTGAGGAAATTGAGGCTTGGTTACTTGCCACCAGATAGCTACCTGCATAAATCAAAGGCTTCATTCTTGCCTCTACCCTGTGGGTACCCTCATACACAGAGGGAGACCATAAGGAGATTGCAGGAAAATCTGGACAGAAGTTGTCCCCAGAAGATCTCTGAGGACCATTAGTGCTTAGATTTTGTGTTCCCAAGATGTGTACAGTGGTTTCCTTGACGATGTCACACATCCACGAGTGGTACTAGGTTCCATTCTAGTTTTATTCTCACCATCTTCCTCTCACACAGCCTTAAACCCAGTGATCCTGGACCAGTCTTTTTCCTGCACACCCTTGCCTCTGTGCCTTCTTTGCACATGCTATCTTTCCTACACTCCCCTCTCTAATGGTATCCCTTTGAACTCCGATGGATTTGATCTAATTTCCATGGGCCCCCTTAATACTGTGTGGGGACCTTGCTTCTCAACTGGAAAGTTGTCTGATGTGTTTGCAAATATTGCCAAATCCACCTGTGTGTTGAACAGAAAAGAGAGAGGCAAAGAGAGAATTCCAGTGATTCTGCTCTTCCAATCACATGAGGAAAGTGAGATGGGACCCACACCCTCTATTTCTTTAATCAAGTTCTGCTCACTATTCTCTCTCAGAGTAAGCAGGACAGGATTCTAATATTCAAAGAACAGTCTTCACAGACAGCAAAACCTAGAAATATGACCCAAATTTAGCCAGAATTTGGCTGCTGACTAAAGTGTGACCCTTGCATTTGTGCTTGTTATTTCTCCTCTTGTGGATTTAAGCTCCTTTACAGAAAGAGCCTGCCCTATGCTGCATTTAATTTTTAGCAGCCAAGTTCTCCCATGTAGCTCTGCCCCTAAAGTTGCCTCCCACCCCTCATGGCATCCTCTGCCCTTCACCACCCATCCTCTGCCCCTAACAATGCGCCATTCAGTTTGAATCCATTTTCTTTCCTCCACAGAGCTGCCTCCTACCACTGGTTTGCAGCCAACTTCTTACTTACAAAAGCCAAACATGATATTATTGTTATGGATGAAGTTTTCCCAGAATACTAAAACTCTTCATAGCAAGTTAGAGGTGTGTGTGTGTTGTGGAGGGAGGGTCCTCTTCCATGCACAGATAAATCCACAGGTGGAACTACCATAAGCACACAGAGAAGACCAGGGCCCAGGCCCTGAATGGCAAGGAGTCTCATTAATAAATTAAGACATCCACAAAGTATATCCAAGGGGACTGGAACCCAAATCATGTTAATTTGGTTGATGCTCTGGTTTCCAGAAATTTCTCTCCCCTGATGAATAGAGTATATGTACTATTCAGTTTTGGATGCCTTGAAACTTGAGTGGTGAGAGGAGCAAGTGGAGGCATTTGGTAGAAAACTGGAATGTGAGGGCTGACGGAGTGGTTCAGGTGGTAGAGCACCTGCCCAGCAAGCATAAGGCCCTGAGTTCAAACCCCAGTCCTAAAAAAAAAAACCTAAAAAAAAAGCCAGGTCCCAGTGGCTCACATCTGTAATCCTAGCTATTCAGAAGACAGAGATCAGGAGGATCGAGGTTCGAACCCAGCAAGGGCAAATAGTTCGTGAGCCCCTATCTTGATAAAACTCATCACAATAAAAGGACTGGTGGAGTGACTCCAGGTGAAGGCCCTGAGTGGCTTCCATGACTGGGGGTGGTAGGACACAGGAAGCATCTGCTCTCCCTGTTTCCATCATCGAATCCTGCCACTAACTACAGGTGTGTTTCATTTCTGTGCAGTGAGACTTGCCACAGATTAGATGAATGTGTGCACATGCATTTGTGTGACCACCCTTTTGGTGTTGAGTCAAAAAGTGGGGACACTCAGAGCTCTGGGAGAGATGAAGCAGTGGCAGGAGGAAGAAGCTCTGTCTGAGCTCTGTCTGGTAAGGTGCCCCATGCCTGAGCCCACAAGAACTGCCTCTGGCCTGGTAGGCAGTGCCACATGTGACCAGGGAAAGGTCTGCCACACACAGGCACTGGCCCAGTGCGGAAAGCAGGAAGTGAACCCAAAGACACAGCCCAGCTAAAGCTTTTGGGGATGCTGTTCTCCCCGTCAGTTGTTCTGGGTATTGTATCACCTCTCCCACCTGTGCTTTCATCAGATGTCCTCCAGGGGGCGCTGCTTAATCAACCTTTCCCTTAGAAACTGATACGCGCTTTCATAAATTTAGAATAAGAATCTCAAGAGCACTCGGGAAAAAGCAAAGCAGGGGGACAAAAATGGTGTTCAAAGTGAACAATGGAGTATTAGTTAATATATGGTATTTGATTACTAAGACAATGTAGGCAATAAAAGATATTCCAACAGGTATTAGATCAGCCCTAAGAAATCTTTCTGTATAAGACTTTAAACCAAGATATTAAAAGTATTAATACTTGATAAATAGAATTATGTAAAATTAAAAGTTCACTTAATACTCTGGATTGTGATAAATACTTGGGCAAATTATGATTATTATCATTTGTGGTGCAGGGATCAAGTGCAGGGCTTCATGAATTCTAAGCAGGCGTTCTATCACTAAGCTACATCCATGAGTTAAATATTTTTGTGTTAAATATGGTTTAAAAGAAAGCTACTGTACATATCTGCAAAGGGGCTCATTTCCAGAATATAGAACGAATTTCTACAAATTGATTTTTTAAAGGGTGGATAACACAATGATTAAAAGAAAGAACATCCAAAAAAGAATATCCAAAGAGCCAATAAGTATATAACTTATCAGGGAAATGCAAAGTAAAACTACAAACTGATTCTAAAACTGTCCAACTCCTAACTCACCAAAAGACACGTTCACAGATATTTTCAGCAATGGTTTTCATAATTACTCCAAACTGGAAATGAAACCAGTTTTTCAGCCAGGTGTGGTGGTAAGTATCTATAATCCCAGCAGTCGAGGAGCCAAGGTATGAGGACCAGGAGTTCCACATCACCTGTGCTACAGAGGAGACCCTGTCCTCCCCCCCCCAAAAAAAAAAAACCCAGGGCCTGGGACATCTCTCAAGTGGTACAGCACCTGTCTAACAAGCTCAAGGCCCTGAGTTCAACTCCCAGTACTGCCCATCCCTAAACTGAAAAAAAGAGGGAGAGAAGGAGAGAGGGAGGAAAAGGGGAGTGTAGGAAGGGACAAGGGAGGGAGGAACAAAGATTATCCCAAATCCTATCCAGTGCAGAACTTTGTCATTATTTTTTGCATAGCTTCCTTCTGGAAAGAAAGTATGATTCCTGATAAAAATGCTTAGAAAAAATTTCTGAAAAACTTTTAAGAGATTAAACTTGTTCTGGGAAACTAGTTACCCACCTAGCCAACTGGTATCTAGTGATCTCCTTTGTTGTGGTTTGTTGGTTTGTTTGTTTGAGACAGGGTGTCACTATGTAGCCCAGGGTGCCCTCCAACTCTCAGTCCTCCTGCCTGAACCTTCAGAATACTGGGATTACAAGCATAACCATGATTGGCCTCAAGTGACCTTTTTATCAAGCATTCTTACTTTTTAAAAATCCACTCTAACAATCATTATCTAACCACTTATTGAAAATGAATTTCTAAGCTAAACTAAGGCCTTTCCCCTTACAGAAAGATGGTAATAAAACTTTGGCAAACTAAATTGTCATAGCTAAACCATCAGAAATGTTTTCATGAACACTAAGTCCCACTGGATGCCCACAGAGCCCTTAAAGAGCACTCACTTGCTTGTGAAAGATGGAACCCACAATATGCAGATGACATAACACACAATTCATGCTCATCAGATAATATTTAGCATTCATCAGATACATTCTTGTATAATTCATCTTCAAAATTAAACTATTCAAAGACTAATACGTCTGACAATGATTAAACTTCAAGGACATCATACAGCTAAGAGGAAGGTGATCCACCTTCCAGGCTCTGCTTTAGTCAGGCTGAGGAAGACATTTGGTTACACTGTAACCAGCATCCAGAGGTCAAAGTAATAGAATGAAGGATGATAAATCAGGGTCAATGACACAGAGTTTCAAATGATGTAGATAAAAGGAAAGGGGTGAAGGCAGTGACTGCTCAATGTTTTTTTCTGGGAAAAAGAACATACTTTGTTTTATGATATACTAGTGCTAGCCCAAACATCCATGCTTTGCAAAGTTTCTGAAAGACTTCCAGGAAGATATACATGATATATTACACACGTACCTGCTCACTGAGATCATTTTACTTCAGTATAAATGGCTTTCCTTTAGACAGTCATCACTTCTATAAGCACCCTAACTGAATACAAAGCCATTGAGTCAGTTTAGCCACCAATCGCTTTAGATTGAAGTGTCCTACCTTTTCCAAAAATTCTCCCAAATTCCACTAGTCTTCCCCCCTCTGGGTTTAACGTAAAGATTATCGCTTTAAACCCATGTAGCTCTGTTTTCTTTTTCTTTCCCCTTTTGGTGGTACTGGGAATTGAACCCAGGACCTCATACATGCTAGGCAAGCTCTCTACCACTTTAGCCACACCTCCACCCATGTGGTTCTTTCGGGGCCATAACTTAACCACTCTCCTCACCCTGGGTATTTTTATTTTTATTTTTTGTTACTATTTTAAGCAAAGTTGCAGGGAACATTCTTCTACAGTCATCTCTGCTGCTGTGTGTGATATTTCCTTATGTGATCACTTTCAGATTTCATTTTATTTCCCATGAAGTTTGCTCTACTGAGAAGATAATGTGCTGCTATTAGAATGCTGGGAAAAATTATTGTTCAAACTGAATTATTAAACTGGCTTCTAAGTGTGAGTGCTGGCTATGAGATTGAGAGTAAGAACAGCTAGCGAGGGTCTGTTCAACCCTCCTAGGGTCTGCTGACAATGGCTGAGCCACCCTAAGGAGCAGAACAGCATGACCTGAAAATACATAGCAGCCTCTCACCATCACCGGCCTAGTGGGCAAGGCAGGAGGGTGCTTCTGAAGCTCGGAGGACCCTACCTGGTACCTTAGTCCTGGGCTGAGGTTGAAGTGCACTGTAGGGGAGGGGTCAGGACCCTGGACAGCTCAGATATATTGGCAACCCTCTGCCACCCATCTGTCTTCCTTTTTCTTGGTTTTTACATTATTTAGTAGAAAAAGGGAAAGGGTTTGTCCCAGGTGAAAATTTTCCAAGTTTAAAAGGGGGCCTGGGATTTGTATGACACAATTGTCCCTCCTGATAATAACTTCTAAAATGCTTTCCCTTCTTAGTCCTCATTATGGCCTTACCTACTTTGATAAGAAACTGAGATCCAGTACTTGTCTGGAGTCCCAGCTACTCAGGACACTGACATGGGAGCATCATTTGAGCTCATGAGGTGGAGACCAGCCTGGACAACATAGTGAGATCCTATCTCAAAAAAAACAGAAAGAAATTGAGGTCCAAGTAACTACTAGCTCAAGGTCACACAGCTGGTCAAGGGCAAGGACAGACAGGACTAGGAGTTAGCTCTTACAATGCCATGTCACTCACTTACTCAGCAAACAGTTATTGAGTATGTTTAACATACATTTATTCCATTGTAGGCTAAGTTTCTCTCACATAGCATTCTGGAGTTCATTCAGGATAGGGAGACTGCTCTGTTCCATGAGATCATTCAGGAACTCATTTCCCTCTGTTTTGTATTTGAATTGGCAAACTTTTTCTGTAAAGGATTAAATAATAAATATTTGAGGTTTGGTTTTGCGGGCCATCGTTTACATTTACATTATGTAAACAAACAGGTTGTTGCATGTTCCAATAAAACTTTATTTACAAAAACAGGTTGCAGGTCAGAATTGGCTCATGGACTGTAATTCAATGACCCCTGCCCCAAGATGTCCTTTTCTCCATTATATATGAGTTCCAGAGGAAAGAAGAGGTGGAGGGGTTGAAATTTTATTATAAAAACATGGCTCATAAATAAAACATGGTGGCTTAGTAAAATAAAACAATAGAACACTATGCAACAAGCATGAACGAATCACAGCTGTACACAGCATCAACGAATCTCACCAGCGTAGTGTTGAGCAAAAGAACCTTATATAAATATTACATATTGATTAATTCCATTTACATAATTATAAAACTAGCAAAACTAATCCATAGCATTAGAATTCAGGCTGCCTTTGTGATTGCCTTTATGGGGGGGGACAGTGACTAGAAGGGACACAGATGACTTCTGGGTTCTGACAGTGTCCTATTTCCTGCCAGTGTGTGTTCCCACACATAGGCTGTGTTTTTATGGGAACATTCACTAAGCTATATTTGTGTGCTTTTCTGTATGTATGCTATACTTCAATAAAAAGTTTACATAAGTTGCAAAAAGCCACAATAAATGAACAAAAAAAGAAAACCTAGTGGATTTAGAAATCTCATATTACTTCTCAGATCTCTTTGGCCAAAGCTTAGTCAAAGGAATAGAAATACAATCTAGCTGGGTGCCCATATGCCTCTAAAATTCAGAGGGTTTCTTGTTAAAAGGAAGAATGGAAGCACATATTCTGCGGGGAGGGCATACTAGCAGACTGCAACAATCTACACAGAAATCCCCGGCCTGGCCTGTGATTAGCTGTCTTGGCAGTCGAGGAATTGCTTTGTTTAGTCGACCTGGCTACCCCTGCTACTGCTCTAGGGTAATAACTCCCTAGTCCATAGTTCTCTGCCTTATCTCAATTTCCTCTCTGGCAGGCTATTAATCCATAATACCCCAGGCCACATCCTTTTTCTGTCTTTCTCTTCCTTTTTTTCTACTTGGAACTTGGGCATGATGACAGGTACTGTGTCAGTCATCCTAAGACCTAAAACCTCAGCCCTGATTTGTTTTTTTAATCTTATTACATCAGTAATTGGTTACTTCTGATTTTTTTATATGAGAAAATAAATTCTATTTGTTGAAACCACAGGAACCAGGTCTTTATTATCCACAGCCAAACACAGCTCTCAACTGTAAAGACAGCTTCCCTGAGAAGATGTCATTTAATGGAAGTAGAAGGCACACAAGATGGCAGAATATTAGGACAGCAGGGAAAAGCCCAACACCCTTTCCACCGTGCGTCCCGCTGACTGCCCACCATGGAGGCAGGGAGATAAGGGACTAGAGAAGTCAGGAGAGGGAATTTCCAATACAATCGATTTTCCACAGTGACATTTGAAGCTGGGAGGAAGGAAGGGCTCAGTGATGTGCTCTTATCTCAGTGTGTGTGTTTCCTTCATGACACTTGCCACACAGCAGTCACGACAACATGATCCCTGGTGTGAACACCTGTCTGTTACCCCACTAGGCTACCTTTTCCATGAGGTCAGGGCTACTGCCTATGACTGCTCATATTAGCATAAAACCTGGCACAGGGCAACCATGGAATAATAGTTACTGGATAAGGTACAGCAGAGAAAACAAGGGTAAGAGGAGGAGGAAAAAGAAATCAGAAGGGGATCCTGGGGTGAGGCAGGTTCTCTGTCACACTCCTCCAAGCAGACATGGAGGGCTGGGGAACAAGTAGTTACTTCAGGGACCCACACAGGAGTGGCAGTCCAGTTCACAGCCTTTATCTCCTGGCTATCCGATGGGCATATCCTTGAGCTGGCATCCATAGCACCTAATCCCTAAGGGTCCCCTGCCCCTCTCTTGCTCCCCTACAATTCATTTTCTACTCAGCAGGCCAGGGGGTATTAGACAAAAGTCAATCGGAGCATGTCACTTCCCTGCCTGAAGCTCTCCCGTGGCTTCTGATCACACTTAAGTAAGATCTGCACTCCTTACTGTGTTTTACAAGCCCCTTCTCAAGTAGTAGAGTGCTTGCTTTGCAAGCACAAAGCCCTGAGTTCAAACTCCAGTCCCACCAAACATACAAGCCCCTCGTGATCTGCTCCTATTTCCCCTCCAACTTGACTCCTCACACGTCCCCTCATCACTAGGCCTCAGCCCCATTGGCCATCCTTTATTTTTCCTCAGACTCATCAAAGCTTGTTACTCCTTCAGTGTCTTTGTACCTGCATCCCCAGGGCTTGCATGGTTAGCTCATCATCATTCGTCTTTTAGTTCAGTGATACAGTTATCATGGTTCCCTCACCCACTTCTTTCTAGATCACTGTGTTTAAATTATTCACAAAAACTACACCAGCTGCAGTTATGTATACTTTTGCTCCAGGACAGAGGCCCTCACCTGTCTCGCCATGCATCACACAGCAGGTGTCCAAGTGCTACTTGCTGAATGAATGAATGAGTGTGTGAATGTGTTACAAAAGAGCAAGGAGCTGACGTTCCGTGCAGCCCCCAGGTTCCTGTAGGGTCTCTTTCCCTCACACCATGCTGTCATCTACACTGCTGACCACTGCTTAACTCATAAACTTGGACTTGACCCTCATCCTCACTCAGCCTCTGTTTCCACATTTGTGGAGTGACAGTGATTTCCAGAGATGCAGAGCCCATGGGTAGAAAAGCCCAGGGCCCACAGGCTATCAGAACAGAGTGGGGCCTCACTTCCAGGGCCTGCTTCCTCCTCTGTGGGTCACTGGTGATCAACAGCCTCTCCCACCCCCACTCTCCACAGATCTGATTTTATTACTTCTTCAAGGAGTTCACACACCATGACCTTCGTTATGAGAAAGCCCTGGCTATAAAAGACCAGCCTTGACTCCCTGCTGTGTGGTTAAAGATTGATAATAATAAAAAAAAAATAGAGGCCCAGGGTGGCCCCTCAGCACACTCTGGGTTCCTGGTGCTTTCAGATTGCGAAAGTCAGGCGGTGCCTGTTTGCCATCTGAGGCCACTCAGACAAGAGGTCACTCACCCCAGAATGGCAACAAAGGCACCAGACCTGGGCGTGTGCTAAGGGCAGAGCTATCAGATGGGCTGGCAGTCACAGGTTCTCCCAGCACTTTTCCCAGGCTACAGCTGTGCCTTCCTGAAGAGAAGTCAAGTGCAAACAGCTCCACACTCCTGGGAGGAAGAGAAGGAAAACACAGAAATCAGTGCTGTACCCTGGAGTTTGAGGCCCCAGGAACCCAGGATCCAGGGTGAGTGTTCCCAGCCTGCCAGGGGGATGGGTGGTCCAGGGTTTCTGGCAGAAACCACAGTCGATGGCAGATGGTTAAGCTCTGCTTCAAATGCATGAATCTCCCAAACACAGAGGGGCCTAAGCAGACATGACAACTAAGTGTAATCTGACGTCCTACACTGGATCCTGCAACAGGAGAAGGACATTAATGGGAAAACTAATGAAATCCAAATAAAGCATGAAGTTTAATTTAAAAATAAAAAAATGAGAGCCGGGCACAAGTGGCTCACACTTGTAATCCTACCTACTCAGGAGGCAGAGATCAGGAGGATTGAGGTTCGAAGCCAGCCTGGGTAAATAATTTGCGACACTGTATCTGGAAAAACCCTTCACAAAAATAGAGCTGGTGGAGTGGCTCAAAGTGAAGGCCCTCAGTTCAAGCCCCAGTACTGCAAAAAGAAAAAAGCGAATATGGTGCTCACTCTAGAAGCAAACTGGGTAAGCACTCTGGTACAAATAAGCCCCTTGCTTAACAGTTGGGGGTTCCACCTTGTAGCCATCTTGTCATTTTGGGGTTTTGTTGGTGTATGTTTACTGTTAACATTATTATGTGTATTTTAAAACATGTACTCACTGTGGACGTAGATGTAGATGTCTCCAGGCATCTTTTTCTTTCTTTCTTTTATTTTTTGTTTCTTTCTTTCCTTTTTTTTTTCCTTCCAGTGCTGGGGAGCTAGTGTAGAGCCTCATGCATGCTAGGAAAGTGCTTTGTACACTTCTCTGATTAATTCCATTAATTAAATATTCCAAGTACAACATATACACAGGCATTGTAAACTACACACAAATGTACAAAATATATATACATTAAAAATGTGTGGGCTGGGTTGTAGCTCCATGGTAGAACACTTGCCTGGAATGTGCAAGGCCCTGGGTTGGATTCCCCAGCAGCTCCCTGCCCACCCTCCAGAAAAAGAAGGAATGATATGTTTATATGCATTGTCTTCATGAATGTAGTGTGTACACAAGGTTCATGGTGAATGTCCAGGTGTCTAGGCCCCATCCCACTCCCTAGAGGAAGATAGCGCTGGATAGCTGGAGCTCCATGATCCTCAGTGTGGGCCTGGGTGGCGGTGCTGATGTTACTAATTAATCCAGGCATGACGACTGACCAGACTGCCTCATCCTTCTTAGCACAGCATTCAGAGCAGTTGGGTGGAGCTGGAACATGGATCAGATCCCTTAGCCATTCTATAAGCAGGAAGGGGGCATCTGAGACTTTGAAACCTAAACAAGATCCTTCTTCCTCCCTGACTGCCATCTCCACCTTGACACATGAACGATCCTTCACATTTGAAATTCTTACCTCAGTTCTGTATTCATATCAAAATATTTTCCCTTAAAATCCGTCGGTGGTTCTTCTGTCTTCTTAAAGCACTTTATCCAAGTTATTTGTGAAAGTTCCTGGCTATTTTAGGATAGGGTGGCTGAGATCATGGACTTGGCCGCACCTGTTTCCCCTTCACCTCTTGTTCCTATTAGTGACTTAGGACATGTGTTTTCAGGATATGTCTTGTCCACATCGTTCTCCTGCTGTGTTTATTTATTTAGCAGTCCTGGGGATTCAACCTAGGGACTCCTGCATGCTAGGAAAGCCTCTACCACCCGAGCAATGCCCCAACCTTTTTGTTTTTTTAAATTTTTGTTTGTTTGTTCTGCTTTTCTTTCTTCAGACATGATCTCGAGTTTTTCCCTGTGAGGCTGCCTCAGACCACAGTCCTCCTACCTAGGGCCTCCTGCATAGCCAGGATGACAGGCACATGCCATCACCCTGGCTTATTAATTGAGATGGAATCTTGCTAACTTTTTGCCTGGGCTGGCCTCAAACCACAATTCTCCTGATCTCTGCCTCTTGGGTAGCTGGGATTATAGGCATGAGCCACTAGGTCCAGCCTATATTTTGGGTTTCTGTTGTTGTTGTTTTGTTTTTTTCCTTTCAATGGTACTGGGGTTTGAGGTCAGGACTTTGTGTTTGCTAGGCAGGCGGCCTTTTGCGTTAGTTATTTTGTAAATAGGGCCCTGTGTTTATACCCAGGCCACCTTCTATTTATACTTCCCTCATAGCTGGGATGACAGACACATGCCACCACACACAACTTTTATCAGTTGAGATAGGGCCTCTCAAACTTATTGCCTGGGTTGCTCCTCCCATCCTCTACCTCCCACGTAGCTGGGATTACAGCTATGCACCCCCATGTCCGGTTCTTGTTTTATTCCTTTAGTTACTTTTCTCTCTATTCCTGTTCTCTTATTCCTCCTCTCACAGACACACCTATCCAATGTGTTTAACAGGTATCCTTTTAAAAACTGTGTTCTCATAAAATATGTGTAGTTTTGTGTGTATAGATTTTGAGTTTTGGTAAATAGCTTGCTATGCCTCCTGGAGGATCATTTCTTTAGTCTCTGTTCTCAGGGGCAGCCCGCTGTATCCAGGGGTGAGTTCACCTAACTTGACTCACTGGCTCTCCAGGTGGCTGCCTGGTATCCAGTCCTTCCTTCAATGCCTAAGCCTATAGCCTAGAGGCCCCCAACAGGAGGCATTATCCAGCTTTCAAAGTAGGCCGATCTGTAACATGTCAAGCAGTAAATCATTCTTGTTTCTCTTACATTCTTCTGGCCAAGGAGTTTGAGCATTTCCTCATATGCTTTGCTAGTCTTTGGATTCCCCACTTTTTAAACTGCCCCTTTGTGTCCTCTGTCCATGTATCTATTGGGATTTCTGTCATTTTCTTGTTGACTTGCAATTCTCAGTTGCAATCCCATCTTGGTTTTAAGCACTGCAAGCATTGTATCCCATTTTTAAACGCATGGCTCAATAGTATTAAGAATGTTCACATTAGCCAAGCAATCCCAGCTCTAGGGCTGGAGATGTGGTTCAAGTGGTAGAGTGCTTGCCTTGCAAGCATAAGGCCCTGAGTTCAAATCCCACTACTGCCAAAAAAGAACAGATACCCTTATTTTTTATACAAATTCATAACTTTTTTGTTGCCTTAAAGGATTTGAACTCTTATAGTCTTGTTTAGGATGTTCTAACCTCTTCTGTTAATTTTTATTTTTCCTCTCACACTTACATGGGGTCTGTTTTATTTTATGTGTGTCGTTTCTTAGACATGTATGCACTCTTAGCTTTCTCCATGTAGAGAGCTGGTATTCCCTGCACTATCCGCTAAATAATTCCTCCCTTTGCTACTTGGTGGAGACACATTTATTGTGTATCAAGTCCCCATGTGTGCAGAGGTTGCTCTCAAGTCACTGTTCTGACATTGTGGTCTTATATTAAAACCACGTATTTTGGTAGCGTGCCTCTATTTGGTGGGCTTTTCTCTTCATCTTTCTCCCCCATGGGGTTGACTTAGCTACTTGCAGTGTGTAGATGTATATAACTGTTAGGATAAGTTAATCAAGGTCCTTAAAAAATCCATTTTGATTGGGATTTCAGTGAAACTGATTGCTCTGAGGATAGCTGACATCTTTATAATTTATTCAGATCACTTTTTTTTTGTCCTAGAGTGAAGATTTTTATCAAAGAACTGTTTTGTATTCTTGGTTAGGTTAATCTAGACGCTATTGTGAATATCTTATTTTTATTTAATTCCCAGTTCACTAATAATATGGAGAATGCTACTGGGATCTTGTACAGCATGACCTCAATGAACGCTTTTATCAGTACAATTGTTTGTTTTTCTAGGTAAATGATTTGTAGCTGCAGATTATGAGTTTTATCTCTTGCCTATCAATTCTTTTTCTTTCCTTGAGCATTTACCAAGACCTCTAGTCTAGATTAAACTGCAATTGTCAAATACAACCAGAAAATTGTTATCTTCTCACCTTACCTGAAGGGGAATGTATCTAAAGCTTCTCTGTTTAACATAATGTTTGCTGCAGGATTTTTTTTTATTGTAAAATACACATAATAAAGTTTACCATCTGAAACATTTTAAAGAATATGGCTCAATAGTAGTATTAAGAACATTTACCTGTGCTTGCTTCAGTAGCGCACACATTAAAATTGAAACGACATGGCCCCTGCTCAAGGATGACAAAAATTTGTAAAGTGTTCTATAAATAAAACAACATTCACCCTAGCTGGGTGCGGTGATGCACATCTGTAATCCCAGCAGTCAGGAGGCTGAAGCAGGAAGATATTGAGTTTAATACCAGCCTGGGCTACATAGCAAGTCCCTCTCTCTAAAAAAATAATATTCACTTTGTTGTACATCCATCACCACCATCACCATCTACCTTCAGAACTTTCCATCTTACAAAACTGAATCTCTCATATGATAACTCCTAATTCCCCTCTCCCAGGATGTAGGATTTTAATATTTTGCCTTTACCATCATGAAGCAGTTTCCTTCTACTCCTGGCAGTGATTTTGTGAGTTGGTTGGTTGGTTTTGGTGCTGAGTCTTGCACATGTGTGCAGGACCCCCAGCCACCTAGCAGATTTTATCACACATGTTAATCATGGGGCTTTTGTTTGTTTGTTTGTTTTCATTTAACCTATTCATATACTGAACTACATTGATACAATTTTTTTTCCCTTTAGGTTTTGTTTCCTACTGGGATTTGAACTCAGGGCCCTGGCAGGCACTCTACCACTTGAGCCACTCCACCAGCCCGTTTTTGTGATGGGTTTTTTTTGAGATAGGGTCTTGAGAACTATTTGTCTGAGCTGGCTTTGAACCTCGATCCTCCTGATCTTGGGCTCCTGAGTAGCTAGGATTATAGGTGTGGGCCACTGGTGTATGGCTCCCTATAATTTTTAAATTTGCATTGTCTTTCTTAAGGTCTGGATCAATCTTAAGAGATTCATCTTATTAATACTTTAAACCTGGCTATTGGTTTTGTTCACCTTCTGTTTTCCTTCTCTACTTTATTGATTCCACCTCTGCTTTTATTAATTCCTCTTTTGTTCCTCACGGGATCAATGAGGAGGAGGGGAGGATTTTTCCTGAACACACTTAAGCAAAGGCAGAGCAGCTTGGGAGCCATGCCTTTGTCCCTCAGCTCGAGGCCCACTTCTCAGGTCCTACAGTTCTTATGCCGGGGACACAACAGACATGGGGACCAGCTGCCAAACTCATGGACCTGGGCTGTCTACTAACCACATGTGGCTATGCAGCCCTAGAAATGGGGCTAGTGGGAATTGACGTATGTAATATGCATAAAATTTATACTCAATTTCAAAGACTTGGTATCAAAAATGTAAAATTTTCAATAAATTTTTATATTGTTCACATGTTGAAATGATAATTATTTTGGATATATTGGCTTCAGTGAAATAAGTTGCCGAAATTATTCTCATTGGGTTTAAAACATAGATACTAGAAAACTTTCTGTTAAGTAGTAATAGTAAGGTAGAACAAAAATATGTCGAAATTCTGTTTTGAGATGGTCTGAGGTTTGATCAACACAGCCAGCTTAACCTGCTTTATTTTATAGTCGTGGAATCAAGCTCAAACTAAGGAAGGGATTTATCCAGGGAGCGTGGGTTCAGGAATATCCCTTACAAATAACAGAAACTAAGTCTGATAACTTGGCACTTACCAGTCAATCCTGGGAACCCGGGCTCTCAGCAAGGCCCCCAGTTGGGGTGTACCAGGAGGGAGACTGTGATAGGCCCAGCTTTTGTCACGTGGGGGACACAGCGGCCTGTGATTGGCTACCGCGTTGGGCGGGGTAATTTGCTAGAACGCTGTGGGTTGTAGAGATGGGGTAGGGATGCTGGGATGTCCTCTGCAGGGGTCCCAGAGCCCGTCACCAGTGGCTCGGCCCGTTCTACTCCGAGATCAATGCCTTCCCCGCCCATGTGACGAGTGTTTTTGGGTTTTGCCTGTACTGTGTTTGAACTCAAGGCTTTGCTTGTTGGGCAGGCGCTCTATTACTTCAGCCACACCTCCAGCCTCCATGATGAGTTTTAATAAATATTTAACTCACTCCCACGTCTGTGGTCCCTGCCTCTCCAGGCCCCTCTTTCTACTTGGTTCAGACTGTTTTGGCCCTTAAACCTCGGGCAGAAGGACAGATGGGTTTGGGCATGGAGGGGAGGTGAAGCATATCGGGTCATACTCTCTGTCCATTGTTTCCAGGGGTCTTCGGCGCTTGTCTGCTCAGGCGACAGAATCTAGGAGACCAGGAGGGCAGCTGGGGCAAAAAAGGACTCGCTGCCAGAAACACTCCCCAACCAGAACCAGGGACATGGACCATAGAGAGGAAGCTCTCCGAGTCGAAGCTAGCACCGTGGTGTCCAAGGAGCTGCTGGAAGAAATGGTTTGGTTTTTTCGTGTAGAAGATGGTAAGTGGTGCGGGATTGGTGTGGTGGTGTTCCACACAAAGAGCAGCTTGCCTGAAGCCCCCTGGGGGGGTCTCCCCGACCCCATCAGGAAGCACATTTCCTCCAAGAGAGGAAATGGGGACTTGGGCTGAAACCCTTCCCCCTTCTTTTTCTCAGGGTGCGGGGCTCACTTACTCAGCCAGCAGATCATGAGCTGCTACTGTGTGCCAGGCACTGTTGTTAGTACTGGGGGTCCAGCAGTGAATAAAATACAACCTTTGCCCTAGTGGAGTGTCCACTCAAGTGGAGGGGAGAATAAACCACAGTGGAAAATAAACAAACAAAGCAACTAAAAGCCTGATTAGTGATGCACAGTAAGAGAGAAAGAGGGAGAAAGCAGCAAGGGTAGGTAATGTGCTTGTGCTTAAGGCAGGCCTCAGGAAGAACATGACATTTTAATAAAGATTTGCCGGGTGGGGCGGGGCAGGGGGGGGTGGTATTTGCAAGAAGAGAAGGAATTAGCTATGCTGATTACTGATTATTTAGGGGCAAGAACATTCCTGGCAGAGGCAACAAAAATGCAAAAGCCTGAGAATGGACCTGCCTTATTTTGGGACAGTGTGGACAAATTTGGAGCATCCCAATTAAAACTAGCCACTTTATCTGTGAGCACTTATTAAATCCAGTCTGACTGTCGCTCCTTCCTTTCCCTTCCTCCTTGGCTCTCTTTCCACCTTCCTTGTTTTCCTTGAACTACACAAGGAGGTAAAATTGAAAATCGTGAAATTTATCATGACCCACATTCTCACTCCCTTGTCCTCTTTCTCCTCACTTTTATTCAACTGCAGTCCTGTTTCCCCTATTGAATTGGGGCTTCTTCAGGGCAGAGATTCGCTGGTTAGACTGGGAGTTCCCCCAGGGCAAGGGGCTCATCTTTGTCTTGATGAGGGTGTCCACAGCCAGGGACAGTTGGTACTGTGAGCTAGTTTTAAGCCCAAGCCCCAACTACCAGTGGCCTGAGAGGCACCTGGCTGCTCGTCAAGGCTCTGTTTTGTGTCCCTCCTCAGCATCTCCCTGGAATTATTCCATGTTCGCCCTGGCAGCTGTGGTGGTAGTGATAAGCATGGTACTCCTGGGAAGAAACATTCAGGCAAAAAGGTGAGGAGCTGGTCTGGGTGGCTGCTAGAGGGTTAGGAGTTCTGCCTTACCAGAGAGAAATCTAGGAGGGGTTACTTAGGGTCCTTGGCTAGCCACCCTTTGGAACAGAAAAATATAGCCACTAGGGTCCTTTGAGAACCCAAAGTTGTTTTAAAACAAAACAAACAAACCAGCAAATGCCTTGGATTACTGCCCCCCTCCCTGGCCCAGGTGGGCAAGGGAGAATGACCAAGGGTAGTGTAACTGTTAAGAAGGTGCAAGTAACTTAATAGTTACTCAATAGTGTAACTATTAAGAAGGTGGGTGTGGAGGCTCACGTCTGTAATACCAGCTACTTGGGAGGGGGAGATAGAAGGATCATGGTCCAAGGCTAGCCTGGGTAAAAAGTTAGCGAGAGCCATCTCAACAAATGGCCAGGTGTTTCCTGCTACTCAGAAATTGGTAGTAGAAGGATCACAGTCCAAATCCAACACAGACCAAAAGCACAAGACCCTATCAGAAAAAACAAACTAAAACAAAAACGGTTAGTGGAAGAGCTCTTGCCTAGCAAGTGGGAGGCCCTGAATTCAAACTCTAGTACTACCGCCCTCCTCAGAGACAAGGTGGCTGTCTGCGGGAGAAGCAGACACTGATTTGCTTTCCCTGGTGACCCAAGCAGATTCCCTAGCCAGGAAGTCTAGGGGGACCTTGAGTAAAACCAACTCAGAGAGAGGATAGATTTATGGAAGTTTCTGGAAGAAGGTCAGGTTGAAGGAGTGGGCGGTGGGAGTCAATGAAGATGCTTGGGCTGGGGAGTGAGGTGTGCAGGGTGAGGTTTTACACACATGACTGGTGGTGTGTGCAGGCTGATATAGGGATGTAAACACAGACAAAAGGCTAGTTAGGAATTACCTGCAGCCACTTTGGGGATAGGGTGTGGGGGGAACAAGGACTGGTTTGGTGAAAAGAACACAGGACTCAGGCTTAAGTGCACAATGCAGGCCTGTGCTTCTCTGGCCTCTGTAAGGGGAGAGGTGGCAATAAAAGCAGAGCTCCTAGGTGGGGATGAGGCCTGAGGACTTGAGCCTATGCAAGGGGAAGCTGTTTCTCTGTAGAAGGGATCAAACCACCATCACTTCCACCCCAACAGCTCCCAGACACAGGATTCCCCTCAAACTCTCTAACCACTGCAGGGCCCTAGACCTGTTCTAGCCACTCAGTACTCGTTATCAATGCTTCTTCCTCTCCCAGAAATCGAAAGATGCAGCTACAAGAAAAAGAAACACCAGAAGTCCACTCTTTGGATGATGTTGGAATCAAAGAAAACAACAGTCTAAAAGAAACACTAATCTCAGAAAAGCCAAATGTGGACCAAGTGGGAACTGAGCTAAAAGAAAAACGTGTTTCATTGGTTCTCTTTCCAAACCCATCAAAAACAGAGAGCTAGGGAGCATTCAGAGCACGTGTCACCCCAAGTCAGGCACGTGACCAGGATCTGAGCTCAGCACAGTGGCCTGAAACCCCTCACGTTTGACAGTCATCCCCCAAAAAGGCTAGTGTTTTTATTAGCAAATATGATGCACTGGTGAATTGCAAGCCAATGAAAATTTTATTTAAAATATATTTTATTAAAATGCTTCTGGAAGTGGGCAACTGGAATTGCATTGTTCTTTCAGATGGTGGTGGTACACACACACACACACACGCACACGCACACATGCACACACAAGTGGCTTGGAGCAAAAGTGTAAAATCCCTAGCCAGCCTGTGGGCCAGGCTTAACATGTGGTCTTGAGTAGTCCATGCCTCCCTCTGACCTCAGCTTCTCCCTCTATAGAATGGGGCTGAACACTGGCTTAGAGTTTTCAGTCCACGCTCCTGAGACTGCTGGCTGGAGGGGTCAGAATCCCCGCTCCAGCTCTTCTACTCACCAGAGCCCTCTCCTGTACCTGCTTATCTGTTGAGGGTCCACGGTATGTGGTTTGAAACAATGGTACCTGCTGCCTCTGAGCCTTCTCTTGCTAACAGTGAGGTCCAGTGGGAGTATCCTGATCCCACAGCTGAGCCATGGTGTTGTGGCATAGCTGTGGTGGCAATACCAAATAATTTACGTGAAAATATGCCTTATTAACTCCAAATGCTTTCAACACTCAGCCCTATTGCTGAGGGTCCCGGGTCCTGCCAAAGGAGACCACAGACTACCGGTATACTGTGTTTCTGCCTACAAGTGGGCAGGGCAGCAGTGCCCACCAAAATGGCATCTGCCCCAGCTGTGGGCTTCCTGGGGACTGTCATTGGAGAGAATGACTTTGTTCTGTAGCCTTGGTCATTAAACTTGAAGAGGCTGGTCCTAAGGATCTATGGACAAAGCCCTTAACAAAAAGGGGACAAGAGGCTGGTGAAAAAATGCTGGGAGCTATCCACAGTCCCTCCCCACTCCCTTCATGGAGAGGCAAAGTGCTAGAAATACCCTGCCTGAGACTTCCTTTCCCCATCCAGGTGTTCCTGTAGGATCATATAAACTAGATTTTCCCTGGATAAACTGTAGGGTTTGCTGCTTGGGGCTTCTGTAAGGTCAGAAGACATGGTAGGGTCAGGCTCTAGCCTCTGAGGAGTCACCCTGCTTTTCCCTTCTACCAGGTGGTGCTAGGACATCAGGGCCAGCTGTTCTACAGGCTGTTCTCAACCTGCAGGTGGACAGGACCTCTCCAAGCCATCCATCCAGAGTTGCCACTAGGGGCTACAACAGGCCTGGCTGTAGCTGCAGCAGCTCAGGCACTGCAGTTTTCTTCCTGCTTAAGTTGACCCCAGGTCTCTAGGATGGAACAGTGGCTGTTTCCCTCAAGGGTTATGGATGCAGTGGTTACCATGGAGATCAAGGCCTGGAGGAAATCACAGCAGCATCCCTGCGTTTCCTTCTGCTCACGTAGTAGAATGAGTGCAGGGACATTACTTGGTAGCTGGACTTGGAGTCAGCTGTCCACCAGAGGGAGGGCTATTGTCTATCTGGGAAAGGCTGGTGGTGATAAGCCATCCCCTGTCCTGCAGCCCTGCTCATGGCTGAGCCTGGGGTTCCTGCAGAAGGGCCCTCAGAAGATCTTGAAGCCCTTCAGTAGGGTCAGGGTGGGTGCCTTGCGCTTGCTCTGGGCGCGGGATGACTTCACAGTGACCAGCTTGGCCTGGGCCACAGCAGGCATCTCCTTCAAGCTGACAGTAGAGAGAGTGTTGAGAGTGCAGCTGGCTAGCCCATGCCGGGCGGTGAGTGGGCCCTGGTGGGACAGGGCCCTCTCCTCAGAGATGAAGAGAGGCCGGGCCAGGGGGCTCTTCTCCAGCTCCCGCCGCACCTCCCGCACTGCCTCATGGAAGACGTGCTGCACATGCTCAAAGTCCAGGCAGGCAGAGACCTCGAAAAACAGGCACCCGAACCTGTTGGCCAGCGCCGCACCCTCAGCCTTGGTGACCTGCCTGGTGAAGAGGCAGGGTGAGGCAGTAAGTCAAGCAGGGCAGGTCCTACCCCTGGCTTCCCTCTGCCTGGGGCCCACGTCTCATCTTCACCCCAGTCTCAGTTTTCTTGTCAGTACAATGGGACAGTGACACCTGCCTCTCAGGACTAAGAAAGACAATTCCTGTTGAGTGCTTAACACAGTACCTGGCATAGCGCCAGTGCTCAATAGCAGATGATGTCACCAAAGCCTGAATATAGGAGTAAGGATGAGGGTAAGAGAGCAGCTGGTCCAAAGTCCCCCATGCCACACCCTACCTGTGGCCAAAGAAAGGCCATTCCCAGCCCACCGTTTCCTTTACCCCAATGTGGGTTCTTTGGACCAGAAGTGACCTCCTTTATAGCCCTGGCACATGCAGTCAACTAGAGAAAGGTCCTGAGGCCAAATCTCCCACCCAGCTATCATCCCCGAAGGTGACAGCACACCCCAAGATGAGAGGAGACGCCAGGGTAGGAAGAGGTTTCTGAGTCAAGGCTAATTTGGCAGGAGCAGGGGCTGGGAGTGGGCTAGCTGCCCCCCACTGCTGCGTGGTGGCAGGAGATTCAGGGGAAAATGTGATTGGAACTGAAGGGTTCCACCGGGGCTGGTGTGCTGCCTACACTCATCGCTTCCTGAGGCCCCCTGTGCTTCTATGATGTGCTTGAACCTGTAACTGCCATTGTGGGGCTTGAATGATGGATCTTCAGAAAAGAAATCCCGTGTGTGCACGCATGTGTATGAGTGAGTGGCGGGAAAAAGCATAAGTTCTCTTTTTTTTTCCTATTTTATTCAGTGAACATTTTGATAGTGGGTTGGGAAGTGCTGCTGTAACCCACACTTTGACCTTTTGACTGGAAGATAAGCATGGGACACATAGACAGCACTCAGCTAACAGGTCTAGTGTGCCATCGAGTCCTAAGCTACTAAAGCCGGACTTGATGGAGGTAGGCCTCATACTTTTGGAATCCTCCTAACTATGCTTCCTGCAATAGCTAGGATTATACCTGTGTATCACCACACTCAGCTTGTTGATTGAGATGTGCTGGTCTTGAACTATAATCCTTCCAATCTCCTCCTCCCAAGTAGCTGGACTTCTAGACGTAAGCCACCATGCCCAGCCCACAATCCAGTCTTTTGACTCATCTTCCAGGCTCTGTGAGTCCTCAAAGACCACATTTGGTGGCTTTAACATCATACAGTTTCCCAAGACGTAATTTCTCCACGTCTCAGGGCTGGACTGGTAGTGAAAGCCCCCCTCCCCATGGCTCTCCTTCACAAAACCACAGCTCCCTTCTCCCACTGCACATCTGACCCGATCTAAACAAAGGGACTCTCCTAGGAAGGAGGACCAGTGACACCAGTTGCTGGGCCTTTGGGGGCCTGGAAAAGTGGAAGTGACCAGCCATGAGTAGGCAGGGACAGGTGGAAGGTGCCACACCTTGCCAGTGGACTAACCACAGGGAACAATGTCCATCTTGGAGAGCCCAGTGGGATTACTCATTAAGTGTGGGCACCAGCGTCAAGGGCCTTGGGGCTAGGCAGGCCACTTGGACATGAGGAGAGGGTGGTGGTAAACCACGGGGAAAGGTGGGACCTGTGGTACATTCCAATCTGGGTTGTTTAAAACACTGTGCCAGCCAAGCAAAATATGGCTGCGGCATTTTGTGGTAATCTACCCTCTGGCCCAGTCTATGACCCCTGGTTCAAGGTCAAACCCTTCAAAGAGAGCCTGCCCACCGCAACCAAGTGTAGCAGTGAGCCTAGAGCTCTGTGCTTGAGCAAGGCAAGAACTGATTGGACCAGACAGACACCTGACCCAAGGAGTCAATCAGCGCCTCTCATTGGAACTGAAATTGGGCAGCTAATGACCAGTCAGCTGCTGGGAGTGGGACCAGGTTGCAGAGACTCAGGCAAGAAAGGGTGGGGCAGAGAGAGACCCACAGAGGCCCATGTGGATAGAAGTGGCTTCATTTCTGACTTTTGGGATCCAGTGCCTGTGTGGCCCAGATGCCCTCCCCTTCCTGTCCTTAGCTGCCTAAGGACAGGAAGACCAGCTCCCCCCCACCTCCCCTTGACCTCACAACACAATGTTTTTAATCTAAATTTGAGGGGGTTGCTGTTCTGAGCAGCTAACTAACTCCCCGGCGATGCCACCCTGTCCCTGCAAACGTGGAAAGCGAGCTCCAGAGGCGAGGGCCAGGCTGCCATGCTCACCTGTACTGGGCCATGTCCAGTTTGTTGGCAAGCAGCAGGGCAGGGTAGCCACGTTGCATCTCCTTGGCGTGCAGAGCCAGCAGCTCCAGGTAGCTACTGCTGCCTTCAAAACTCTGGCGGTTGTCGATGCTGTACACCACCAGGAAGGCGTGGGCCCAGTTCAGATAGCGCTCACAGTTCCTCGGGGTGTCCTGGGGAGAAGAAGAGGGGTCCACTCAGGGGCAGAGGAGGTTGGGGTAAAGGCCTTCACCTGGGCCGCCCTTCCCACCTCCCCAATGGGTCTTTGTATATTGTTCCCCAGCAGAGACCTTGTCAAAGGGCACTTGAGTGTGCATTTGGCTTGGTGTGAAAGGAAACATTGTCCCATAACCTCCCTCCTACCACCCAGCCAGACACTCGGCCCCTCTTGGGCCCAGAGCCAAAGACTCTGGCATGGCCCCTACAGAGACCTACTGTCCCTGGGCACTGCTGCTTTGGGGTCAGGTTCATGCTGCCTCTTGGTTTCAGACAATAACTGGTATCCAACCTTGGCAGGGGGTATGGAGGACATGGAGGAGATGTGTTGTGGGGACTTGGGCTGATGAGCTCTCACCCGGGGCATTTGTGTAAACAGGTGAGCACCTGCCTCTATGTGTGTATGAGCAAAAAGCCCTGTAGCACAGGATCTGAGCTACTGCCAGTGACTGTCATCCCTGCACCCCTGGGGAGGACCTGTCCCATGAGGCAAGTGAAAGACTCAGGCCAGAAAGGTCAGTGCCTCATTCAAAGTCGCATAGCAAATTGGAGCTTAAAAGGGATCCAAATTCCCATCTGAGGCTGCCCCAATCCTCAGCTTTCCATGGGTCATGGGCGTGATGTTACCGGATCTGCGGTGTCCATGACCCTCAGGTGAACAGGCTGGTGGTCCACAGTCTCCTCGGAGCTGTAGGTATCCTCTGTAACACAGATGGTCCACCAGGTCAGAGGGAGGGCAGGCCACTCAGTAACAATGGGGTCTATGTCCCAGCTTCCCTCTGTGCTGGACTCCTGTGCAGTGCTGACTGGATCAGCTGAGCTGGGGTCACTGTCACCCTCTTGGAAGGCATGGGAGGACCCTCCACCTAGGAGATGCTGCCTCACCTGCCAGGTTCAGAGCACCAGAGTCACTCACATACCTGTCTGGTTCTGGCTGTGTGTGTGGCCCAGGGCCCAGGGCAGTGTAAGTTCAGAAGCAGCACTGACAGTCCCTTCCTCCCTGAACCTCAGGCCTCCCCACCCCATCCCTCTGACCATAGTACCTGGCAGGGAGGAGGCCTTCAAGGACAGCTCTTAGGGGGAGATGAGACAACAGAAAGAGGCACAACACAGTGCGGGGAGGACTGCCAGACCTCACTTAAAGTTCCAAGGTTTTGCAACTAATCTTTGTCAACATGACAGCAGAGGAGTCTGAAGTTGGCCACATTGAATCAAAGCCAACTTTAGCTACTTTTTAGCTGTGTGATTTGGTCAGGCCCTCTGGCTGCTTCCTCATTTACGGGAATTCTGTGCTAGGCGCTGTACTAATGCACGTCCCTGCATTAGCACATCTATTGTCCCATCTCCCAGGGCTGAGTGAGGACCGGATGGACTCCTGGGCTTGGGGCCTGGCCTGCCATAAACGCGTAGAGAGGGCAGTGGGGACTATGCAGCTCCAGGCTGATAAGGTGGGCTCACATTTCCACGTGTTTTTGTTCTTTTTATTTTGAAATAATTTTAGATTCATATAGAAGTTGCAAACTAACACCTATTTATTTCCCCCCCCCTTTTTTTTCTTTTTTGGCAGTACTGGGGTTTGAACTCAAGAGTCTCACGCTTGCTAGACAGGTGTTCTTACCACTTGAGCCACTATGCCAGCGCTTTTTTTTTGCAAAGGGTTTTTTTCAAGATAGGGTCTTGGGAACTATTTGCCCAGGTTGGCTTTGAACCTTGATCCTCCTGATCTCTGCCTCCTGAGTAGCTAGAAATACAGGCATGAGCCACTGAGGCCTAGCAAAAAAAAAAAAGCAACTTTTTATTTTTGGGGGACTGGGGTTTGAACTCAGGGCTTCAAGCTTACAAAGCAGGCACTCCATCACCTGAGCCACAGTTCCAGTCTGGAAGCTTATTTTATTTTGTGGTACTGGAATTTGAACTCAGGTCCTCATGCTTGCTACACAGGCACCCTCCTCTTGAACCATTCCACCAACTCTTTCTTTCTAATCTTCTTCTTGCACTGGGGCTTGAACTCAGGACCATGAGCTTGCTAGGCAGGCACAAGTGGAGTACTGCTTCTACCATGTTAGCACCTTACACAGTCACAATACAGTTACCTAACTAGGAAACTCATTATCAGTTTTGTACCATGAATTCACGAACTAAATTACTGACCTTGTTTGGATTTTACAAGTTTTAACTTTCTTTTTCAGTTTATTACCTCAAACCTGAGAAATCAGCAAGTGGTCAGTGAGTGGTCTGGTGTGCAAAGAGGACGTCATTACCACATCAGCAATCGATCGCTCTACCCCCAACATTTCCCTTGCCACTGGCACATGTATGTGAGTGTATGTGGTCCTCACCATTCCCTGGGTGCTCCCAGGGGCATCTGACTCCCCCCCAACACCCTTCTGGGCAGAACTGGGGTGCTCTTGCCTTCCTGGCAGCAGCCACTGTGAGAACAGCTCCCCGCAGCCCTGGCTGAATGTGCAGTCACACACTTCTCTCTGAGAGCCGCTGGCAGCCAAGCAGGCCTGGACATGCTCCAGGTCCACTAGCATCCAGCATGAATCATAGACAGCTCCTCGTCCCCAGTCTGCTTGGGGACTTGGATAAATAGCCACTCTTATGCAAAAGCAAAAAAAAAAATTCCAATGGAAAGTATGCTTCAAGTTTAACTATATTTGGCCCAAGAAGAGCTGTCCCCGAATGCCACATCTTCAGATCTGTCTTTATTTTCCTGCAATGCTGTCTGATGCACCCCTTTTTAAGTGCTCCCTCCAAACAGGCATGGCCCAGCCCAGAGAGAGGAGTTAGTCTTGGTCTCCCGGTACCCCTTTACCTCCAACAGCCTTTTGAGGTTACTGTTAGCTCCACTAAGGAAAGATGACAAGATGAGGCTCAGAGGAGGGAATGCACAGCACCCTATCAATAGCATGAACTTGAACTTGGGTCTTCTAGGCTAGACCGCCTCCTGCTTGCTCCTCACTGCTCAGTGGATCCTCTGGTCCTCCAGCTCTATCTGAGCAGAGCACAAGGTGGGACCAGAAGGCCCCAGTGCAGCTAGGGATGAGAGCATGGACAGGCAAGTTGGAAGACACCTCAGGATCATCTGGTCCAGTGTCCCCTTTACAGGGGAGGTCACTGGCCTCAGAGACAGTGGCGCACAGCCTTCCCTAACTCAGGACACTCTACTGTCCTTTTATATATGCTCCTCATAACTCCTGATTAATATCTTGTGGACTTGAATGCCAAGGAGAGAGTCCTTTGCATTCTCTCATTTGCAGTAACAAATTTATAAAAGGCACCAAAGAAGTTCTGGTCAGAGTAGTGCCTTGAAATGGTGCCTGTTTGTGTCCTTGTTGGAACAAGACGAAGGCAAGAGAGGCACGAAGCTGGCTTGGTCCCCCTCTAGCTGAGTCAGGAGACATGGCACAGCTGTTCCATGATGGGAGAATATACCCCAGAGCCCTCGCCCTCCTGGGGCTCCGCACCAGCACTGAGTCTTCCTGCCAGCTCCAACCATCACTGCCAGCAATGAGGAACAGCTTTGATAGGTAGCCCAGTCTATTAGCCCATTCTCCACATGGGGAAACTGAGGCTCAGAGAGCCCTGTGCCACACAGACCTCTGCCTTTGGGCCCTCTATAGCATGAGCTGCCCCTGGTGGAACACAGCTGAAGCAGTGTCTCATCTTTCTTTGCACCTGAGGGGCTCCATGATCTTGAGCAGGCCACTCATTGAGCCCTCTCTGCCCCAGTTTCTCCACCTATAAAATGGGAATGATGATAATTTTCTGAAGGATAACTCTAGACCCAACGTTCTATTCAACACAGAGCATCTGTGTTGTGCCTACTGTTCTGCTAACTGCTGGAACTAGGGGTGAATGTTTATCTCAAGAGGCTTCCCAAACGTGCTTGGGCTCTTGGGAGACCCTGGGGAAGGGGAGAGTTGTTTCATCCATCTGGCTGAGGCATGCCCTGCCTGTGAACATCCAGATCTTTCTCCACAGAAGGAAAGCCTCCAGCCCCACAGTCTTGCTGCCACTGCTCTCACAGTGGGATAGCGCCTCCATGCAATGGTGCTGACCCCCCCGCAGAATGTCTGAGAGGAGAACATTTAGTGGTCTCCAGCTCAACAGCCGGAGTGAGAACTCAAAGACTGAAGTGACTAACCGCTGCAGGGTTGCTGTCCCCCCACCCCAGACAGTCTGACCACATGGGCCACTGCCAGGGCAGAACTCCGAAATTACTCAATGAGGAAGCTCAAACCACCGCAGTAAGGGCCCTTCCACAGGACCTGAGTGAAGTGTGTAGATGGAGGCAGGGAGGAAGAGACACTGGAAGTGGGGTGCTAGAAAAAATAAATTCAGGGCACCCAGTAAGGTCTGCACTTCAGATACATGAGAAGTGACCATGCAGCGTTTGAACTAGGCATATGTCTTTTTCTTCTTTCTTTGTGTGTGTGTGTGTGTGTGTGTGGGTCAGTACTGGGGTTTGAACTCAGAGCCTTGCACTTGCTAGACAGGCAGCTCTATCACTTGAGCCATGCCCCCAGCCCAGACAGATGGCCCCCTGGGCCCATCTTAGACACTTCATGGGCTTTGTGACTTTCCTCCCCAGCTCCTGTCACTTGTCCTCAGTTTTTTCCACACTCTACCCTCTGATAACACCTCCCCTGCCCAGCACACCACTTTGTCCTGTGTCCTGTTCCCTCAGGAGCTGACCTCTGCTGACCAAGGGGCTCCCCTCAGACTCACTGTGTGACCTTGGTTCAGCAACCTGGGCTCCTTTGAGCTTACTCCCTCCACTATAGCACCTCAGACTGTGCCAAGGCACAGGTGGTCAACCAGAGCTTTAAGGAACAAGCCCCTTGGGGGCTGTCACCCCATCACCTGTTCTACACCCCTGCCTTAACCAAGAGAACCCTGTGCACGCTCTGTTTGACTCTCTGGGGTTCTAATTAAGATCTCTTTGGAGAAAGGAATCATTTTACTCAAGGAAACAAATTTTACCCATAGAACTAAGAAGTCCTGTGGACCCTTGACGGCCCAGCACTGGGGCTGGTACTCCATCCAGTCTGCATAGAGGGGCAGCTAGGCACCTAAGGGGCTCAGAAGCTCATTCCTCAGGCATCCTAGTGACAGTTCAGCAGGGCCTGCTGTGGCAGCACTGTGCTGCAGGATGTCAACCTGCGTCACAGAGCCCTGAGTTTCCTTGCAGGGCACTCAAGGACCCCATCAATTTTTATAAATGGGGAAACAAAATTCAACACCCATTTTCAAAAGGCTAAGATCATTCAGACCCCCGTTGCTGTCATGGACAGTTCACGGTAAAAATGTGATAGAAGTGAGCTGTAATAAAACTCTACTTGTATTTGTCTTAGGAATGAGGGTTCCATGTAAGAGATTATTTTAGGAAAAGGCCCCGCTGCTAAAAATAAATTTCAAAACACTGATCTGATTAATCTGAGGGAATCTGACCTCCATGCCTGGAAAGCCACTTGAAGAGAAAGGAAAAGCAAATGTGCCCTGAGTATCTACTGTGGGTCAAGTCCAAGACCTGACCTTTAATCCGCATGGCCATTCTCTAAGGTATTTTATGGAAACAGTAGCTCAGAGAGGTTAAATGACTACCTTAAGGTTGCACAGCCAGTAGTGGCAGAGCAAGGATTCAAACCCAGCTCTGACAAACACCAAAACGTCCCCTTATCCCATGTACCATGATATAGCTAAAATAATAATAAGACCAGTTTTCTCGTGTGCTTCAAAAACTGACTCAGAGAATACTGGAGAATTTCTCAAACCGCTGATCCAGCTTTTCTGGGAAAGCACACTAAGTGGCCATCTTGAATAGCACCTATTTGGATGTGGACCGCTTGCTATGTTTGGTATTCTTATTTCCATTCTTTTAAAGTCTCATCACACCTCATATTTTAGGGCAAATCAGTCTTGGTTCTCTGAATTGGGCCAAACCCCAACTGTCTGGGATGGGCTGTGAAAGGGCTACTTCTGGCACTTCAAACATCCCCCCCTTGGGCTGAGGCATCCTGGGGGCTCCTCCTTTCTGTCCCCAGATGTGCAATGCTGGTCAAGGACTACCCACAGGGAGGTCCCAGGGGAGCATCAGGAGGGCTTGGGGAGCAGAGGGTCCAGGGAGGAGTGGTTTCTTACCCAAGTTGGGGTCATATTCACTGATAAACCTCTTGGTCAGAAACTTCACAGTCAGTGCTGCAAGAAGCAGAAAGAGGTGGGCTCAGTCTCCCGGCTGGACTGCTGCTGGTCCTCTCACTGTAAGAGGGCCTTGTTTGGCCTGTGGTCCCTGGGTGACACCAAGCTCAGTTCTCCCAGGAAGCCAGGCTGGGGAGCTAAGGAGTTGGTTTGAGAGACTCACAGAACAGAGAAACAAGAAATGAGGGGTGCCAGTCATTGTAGTTGTACCCCGAATTTTTTTTTTTTTTTTTTTTTTTTGTGATGCTGGGGCATGAACTCAGGGTCTACACCTTGAGCCACTCCATCAGCCCTTTTTGGTGATGGTTTTTTATTTGTCTGGGCTGGCTTTGAACCACGATCCTCCTGATCTCTGCCTCCTGAGTAGCTAGGATTACAGGCATGAGCCACCAGCACCTGGCTTCCTGGAATTTTTTTCAATGGCAACCAGAGTAATGAGAGGCAAGCCTAAGGACCATACACCTCATAAGCATAGGGTCAGCCAGGTGAGACCCTAACAGAAGGGTCATGTCCTTCCTCACCCCCGCCCCCAACACGGGTCACACAGATTCTGTGGCACAGAGCATTTATTCCAGCTATGCCTGAGGTCAAAGAGACAGGAGAGCAGAGTTGATCAGTGGGCCATTCCTGGTAAGGCATGGCCCTCTGAGGCCTGGGATTTCCAGGCAACATTGTGTCCTAAGTAAGCACACTGTAGCCCTGGTTCTCCCTGGCAGAGTTCATCAACAGTACTGATACCGTTCAGAGTGTAGCCACAGAAAAGGCCGGCCAACTAGTATACTAGACTTACAAAGTAATGTGCTATTGTCAAGAAAACCCTTCAATTGACTTTGTAGGATTCCCAATAGTGTCAGTTTGCAAACAAATATTCAGGAAATAGACATTTTAAAATTTAAAATTCCTTCCTTCATGTAGGCACTGGCTCAGCAGCAGCAACAGAGCTACATCCAGAGAAGCAGATTTTCAAAGGGATGAGGGCGAATCTTTCCTGTAGGAAAACCAGGTTCTGCATCCCCTCTCTGATGGAGGTGGGGGAAGGGCTGGCTTCAAAATCAGAGAGTAGGCCCTCAGGGAATATCAAAGAGCACCCTGAGGAAGGGAATCCAGAGCTAACAGAGCCCGGATCACTCACTGATGGCTGTAGCTGGACAAGTGGCCAGCAGAGGAACCCCTCTGTCCCTGCCCTCACCTGCAGCTGTGTGGGACAAATGGCAAGTGGACCTCTTTCTGGGGTCTCTGCTATGGTGACAGCTAGGAGTGGTGAAGGCAGAATTCAGTGTTGAGGGAAATTAACTCAGTGGAAGCCCCAGATCTTGGTTCAAGGACAAGTCCCTAGCATCTGGGACCACAGTGCAATGTTTTTCCAGCAAGTGGAGAAGTAGTCTGGCTTGAAACAAATACCTTTGATAAGAAAGCACGGTTTGTCTCAGAACCCCCAGGGAGCCAGACTGGGGGAGTGCTCCTTCCTGAGACTCCCAATAACCAGGGACTTCTAGCAACTCCTTTCAGTGAGGAGGTGAGGGGGTGGGCAGCCAAAACCAGGAAGGAGCAAGCTTGTGACACTGGCCACAAAGGTGGCCTCAGGCTGCAGCTCAGTGTCCAACACGTCCCTTTGGTGGCAATCCGCAAGACTGCTGCTGGCCCCAGGGAGTCTCTCTTCCTGGGACAGGTGGGGAGATGCATGAAGACCGGGAAACAGGGAGATGGGGTGGAGGGACAGCAGGGGTCACAGACAAGGAGTTCAGAGATACAGAGGCAAGGGACAGGCCAGGAATAGAAGCCAGGAGAAAGAGAGGGAGGAGCTGAGAACAAAGCCCAAAAAGGAGCGAGAGAGCCAGCAGAGAAACTGAGGCACAGAAGGAAGACGGGGTGTCACCCACACCTGGGAAGGAAGCCCCCAGGCCCACAAATGCCCTCCCCATCCCGCGCCACTCACCGGACTTGCCGGCCCCGCGGCGGCCCAGGATGGCCAGGTTGACCTCGAGGGGCGCGCTGTGCAGGCCGCTGCCCGCGCGTGGCTTCCCGAACACCGAGGCCATGGCTCAGCGGGGAGGACACGGGCCCGATCGGCCGAGCGCGGCGAGCTGCGTGCCCGCCGTCGGCGCCTGGCGAGCGCACGCCCCGCACCCTCGGGTGTCCGCGCCCGGCCGAGCCCAGCGCCGCCGCTGCGGTCCCGCCGCCCCGCGGGGAGGAGGGGCGCAGCCGGCGGGCGGGCGGGGCGCCCCGGCCCCAGCTCCTTTTAAGGGTTGCCGAGCCCCCCTCCGCACCCCCACCCGCCGGGAGTCGCGGGCAGGACCCAGGCACGCTCCCTTTCTCCCTAGCGCCCCCAAACCCGGCAGGGAAGGACCGGAGACAGGGCGTCCCGGGATAGCGGGTAGAGAGGAAGGGGGTGTGCAGCTTTGTCCGAACCGCGGTTGGGGAGCTTCCCACCAGCAAGAGCATCCACCCCTTTCTTTGTTCTGCCAAACCGCCCCGCCTCCTCCTCCAGGAAGCCACCCAGTTGGACTCCGCGTCTTGCCCTTTAGGCCAGGGCCAGCTCAGGGTTGTTTCTCCAACCCTGTCCTTTGGTGGTATCACTGTAGAAACCAGGCTCCTGGGAAGAGAGGACGAGTGTCCCTTGCTATGACTTCATGGGTTCAGCCTCACCAAACCTAACCCATCCCCGGACCTGGCCGTGCCTCACATCTGTAATCTCAGGTATTTGGGAGGCTGCGGTCTGGAAGATCATAGTTAGAAGCCAGCCCAGGCAAAAAGTTAGCACGAACCCATCTCAACCAACAAGTCAGGAGGGAGGTGTAGGTACGAGGATAGACATCTGAGACCTGCAGGGGACAAAAACAGGCACCCTATCTAAAAACTAAAGCAAAATGGGCTAGGATGTGGCTCGAGTGGTAGAGCGTCTGCCTAGCAAGTGTGAGGCCCTGAGTTCAAACCCCAGTGCTGCCAAAAAAAGAAAAAAGAAAACTAACACATCCTGGATTGCTTCTCCCTCATGGGTGCTCATGAGTTCCATGTGCTGTGGTCTGCTAGGTAAACGGTGTGTTTGTTCTAAAAGCTGGCACCCCTCTTGCTTACAGCAGCTCTGGGGTTGGTGGTGAGCCTGGCAGACCTGGCAAAGGACACTAGTGACCTAGTCACTCGGGATTTAGTGCCAGCTCCTTCCCTTGGGTGATCTTGGATAAGTCACTTAATTCTTTGGGTTTCATTGTCCCCCCATCTATAAATACTGAAGGAAGGAGAAATAAATCTGAAATTCCATGATGTGACTCTGGCCTAATAGAGGCAGAATCCGCCCTGGGCTCCAGGCCTGAGTACATTCGAGCTCCCTGTGGGGCCTGATTTCTGGACTAGGTTCTAGGCTAGAGGCACAGGAACCTAAGTACATCCACCCTCCTTCCCCGCACCCAGATAGTTAGCACCCACCCATCCGCAAGAGAAACCATGGAAACCCAACAGGCACCAGGTGCCAGGGACAGGGACAGAGCAAGGATGGGAACAGCTTCTCTCCAACCAAGAAGAACTGCTGTCCTGGACAGGATTAACTCTTTGGGGAGATCACAGTAAACCAGCTGTGTTATTAAGACTCTAAGGTAGCAGGAGGAGTTTGTTAACATTACACCCTCAGGGCAGAACTGCTTGCACAACTAGTGGCCAAGGGTGTCCCTTGGAGTTGTAGAAGTTGAGAAAGTGGGGGCCAAGTTTCAGCCACATCCCTGGCTGGCTGCAGTCCTGTGCAGACAGACTGGATCCGGATGGAGACTGTAGGAAGAGAGACCGTCTCACTGGAGGGCCACTGGAGGGGGTAAGCTATGGACCCACACAGGGCCTGCAAATGAGTTCTGCCACTTCCCAGTTTGTGTGATGCTGGGGAAAGTATTTCATGTCTTTCTCGTATTGCTTTCATCTTTTTTCTTTACATTTCTGAGTTTTATTTATTTACTTGTTTATTTATTTATTTAGGTTTTTTGAGACAGAGTCTCTCTGTAGGCCCAGCTGGCCTCAAACTCTTGGTTCTTCCACCTCAGTCTTCTGAGTGCTGGGATTACAGATGTGTACCATTATGCCTGGTAATTTTTGCATTTTAACTCCTATATCTGTAGCATGCTGGTGGGTCGGCGGCTTGGTCTGGTGATGCAGTTTCAAGGGAGAACTCAGGAGTCTCTGCTCCCATTTCCTGCATGGGGAACAGGAAATGCTTCTCTCTTTTCTTCCCACTGTTCCTCTCCTAATAAACTTTGCTGTTACTTTTACTAAATCTTTGCATCTTGCTTGAATTCTTCTGCCAGACACAAGAACTGAGGTAATTTTCAGAGTCATTTTTTCTGTGAATAGAAATGTCACAATGAAACCCCCTGTATGACTATCATATACTAATAAAAAATGTTTTAAAAAAAGGAGATTGTCAAGAGAGAACTCAGCTGAATAATTAAAACCTGTTTCAAAGTTTCTGTTTCTTCATCATATTCACTAGTTTGTTTTATGACTATCTTTAATAACTTGTTTTGTTCCTGAGTCATGTTTTCCAATAGTTTATATCTTCTAAAAGCTGAGGCAAGTGCCTTACCATTTGAGCCACACCCTCAGCCCTTTTGTTTTTGTTTTTGTTTTTGTTTTGAGGTAGGGTTCCCAAACTTTGCCTGAGTTGTGCTGGAATTTGCAATCCTTCTGTCTCTGTGTCCCGAGGAGCTGGGATTATAGCAGTGCACCACCATACCTGTCCAACCTCTTCTGAATGTCTTGAGCTTTCTCAGTGTTTCTGCTTTTCTTCTGCAACATCTCTTCAATATACTAAAGCCACTGTAAATTTCCTCTATTTTCCTGCCCCCTACACGTCTTCTAAAGCTTTTCTACGTTCTTCTACGTGGGATTTGATCTCTGCAGTAACTATGGTGTATACATTTCCCAATACTTGATTCTCAGTTCTTCCGCAATGTTTTAGAAAGCTAGCTTCCCTTTCTTTTTTTAGGCAAAATGATTTAATGATTTATTAAATGATTTAATTAATGATTTATTAAATCATTTATTAAATTTATTAAATGATTTAATAAATCATTTAATAATTTTACAATTTGCTATGTTTTGATTGGTTTTACTGCACATCAAGGTCACCTTTAAAGTTGATTTTTCTTCCAAGAAAAAAAAGTAAAAGAAAATTATAAAACTTTTCCATATTACCATCTGTGTATCTCCTTAGGAAAGTGCAGCACTACTACTGAGTGACTATGGCATCCCATGGAGAACTTCAGTCTTAGGGCACAGCGTGAAGAGCTCTTGGTTTTATAGCCCTAAAAGCCCTCTTTGAAATGACCTACCTTCCCTTTCTTAAGACTCCAGTTTCCTCATCTTTAAAGCTCAGATCAACCGGATAGGAGCTGCCAGGATGCAGATTCCGCCTCAGTGTGAGGGTGAATTCTAACCACCGGCCACTGTCCTTGGCTGAAGCGACCCCACTGACACTGACAGCAACCAAGATGTACGATAGAGAGCACTTCACATGATTTGCCGGTGCCATTAGGTGCCCTTTAATTCCCTTCCAGTTCACTGATTATTTAAGCTGGCCCTCTAAGTGTTGCCCTGCTCAGCCCGAGGCTTGGAAACAGTGCCTACCTCACCCAGTCCCCTTCCCACTCCCAGTCTCCTCACCACCCAAAAGTGCCTACTGTGGACTGGAAAGGCCCTGGAGTAAGCATCTTGCCATTCTGGGCCTCACTGCTTTAGAATAGGGAGAAAATTAAGGGTTAGATGAAATAACATGGAACTGTCCCATTCAGGGCTTGGCCTGTGTCCCAAAGAACCTCCATTCCACCTGCAGGAACAGGAACAGTACCTCATTCCTCCCCCACCCACTAAAAAGTCAGCGAGCAAGACTTAGTGAGCAAAGTTTGGACACTTCAGCTCGAGAGAGAGAAAGAGAGAGAGAGAGAGGTTACTGTGTTAGGACAAGTGACCCACTTCTCTTCTCCTCACTGCCCTCCTACCATCATGGATCCTTGTAGAGGACTTTCAGGCACCCAAAATGTAGGGGCTGTGGCATTGAGCCCAGCAGTGGGCACACAGTAGATACTTGCTAGATGTCTCTGGGGTGATTAGGTGAGATGTGTACAGAACTAGTTAAACCCAGTTGGCACACAATAGGCTCTGTTAAGTGGAATCCTGGGCCCTAAGCTATGGGAGTTCCCAGTCTGTGGAGAGAGAAGTATGAGAAGCCTATGAGAACTTGCTATGCCCCAAAATCTGCAGGCTGGGATGGGCACAGCCCCCAGCCGCAGAAGGGAGCAAGAGCAAAATGCAGCCAGCTGCTTTTCATAAGATGTTTACATGCAGAGAGTAGCGATGGCAGGTTCCCCCTGTTCCTGATAACTGCAATGTCACACCCCTCCCACCTGAGAACTGCTGCTCTACTTCCTAGTTTGCCGCTGTATATAATAAAGTCGCTGGAGGTGGTGGAGGCTGTTGTGTGTCTCCACCAGAGCACCCAGCCCACCTGATCCCAGCTTTTTTGCATGTTTGTCTATCGCCTTTTCTCAATCTTCCATCCCTCCCAGTTAGGTTCCTAGGACGAGCTCATGCAGGCCGCGAGACTGGTCTGCTGGGGGAAACACAGCCCCCGTCTCAGGAAGATCTCTAGTCTGATCGAGGAGATGTAGCCCATGTCCTGGGAGAATCCACCTCAGTCTGATGGGGCAGTCCTGCCCTTTTTGTGTATGTAAGCCTGTGAGGCATTCTTAATGCCAGGTCCTAGCAGGCTCCAGGCCCACCACTCCCCACCCCCACCCCAGGAGCCATTCCACATGAGGCTAAGCTTTGGGAGCTCTCTGTGATGTCACTGCTTCCTGGAGCCACAACCTGATGGCCACGTCTATGCTTGTTGATGATAAATTCAGATGTCCAGGCTGAACAGAACCTTAGAAATCAGATCCAAAGCTGGAGGGGCTGGGCAGTTTGGCAAGTCAGTGAAATACAGTATCAAAGCCCAGGCAGGAGTCCTGACTCCTAGACCAGGGCTCGTGCTTTTCCCCACCAGGTGCTGCACACCACTCACTGCCCTAGGTGCAGGAACTTCACCATGGGTGGAAAGGGCGGGGATCCCCCATCAGACTGGGGGGAGGGGAGATTCTCCCAGGACAAGGGTACATCTCTACCATGTTAGGGTCTGGGATTCTACTTAACAGACCCTGTGTGTCAGTCTTGTGATGCAGAGATGACCAAGGCCGGATCTGTGCTGCATAAAGGCTGAGTCTGACGCCAACTCCTTTCCTTGCCTGTTCCCTGCCTCACACAGTGTACAAAGTGGAGAGGGAGGTTGGTGTGGGGTCGACAGGGCCTGGGAACTCCGTGGGCTGCCCACAACCAGGATAGTTGCTGTCCTCTAAAATCCCAAAGGGCCACTCAGTGTCTGGGAGGAGGAAACTCTCCCCAGCTGTAGACAACACCCGCTGGGGCCCTGGGGGTTAGGGCCAGAGGGTGGAACCTCAGCCCAGCCTGTACTTGGGTGACCCTCTCTCCACTGTCTGGCTGTTGAAGGTGGAAGCTCGGTGTGTGCAGGAGCCCCCACCCACACAAGGGGGCTGGACTTGGAGAAAAATTGAGAGGAGAGCGAATTTCAGCCTGGAGGAGTTTGCCCTTCTTCTTCCTCCTGCTGTCAGAAGGACAGTGATGGTTCCATCTGGCTCTGTCTGACCATCCGTTACCAGGTGTCTGGAACAGACCATCTGGAAGGGAACTATGGCCCCAGTACTGGGGCTTGTACTAGCCCTCTTCGTCCTTCCCCTTACTTTAGCCTTGCAGAAGCAGCAAGGCTAGTATGGGTGGACAGGCACAGCCAGGCTGGAAAACAAGGCTTGGGCTCAGCTGCCAGCCCTACATCATCCTTCATAACCAAGGAAAAGCCCATGCTAAGTCTACCTTTCTCCTCTGTGAGATGGGACTGTCAGGTACCCTCTGCTACTATTAAGGCCACTAGCAAGGATGCAGTCAGGACCTGGCTTTGCAAAGCCCACTTGTCCCCAAGAGGGGGTATCATGCCTGCTGCTTGGACCTTCCAGGCCCTCGCAGCCAATATCTGACTGCAGAAAAGGAGAGAAACTGGCAAAGGGCCTGGGATAGTGTTTATTGGACTCCTGCCCCCTCCCCCATCTCCTCCTCCTCTTCCTGCCTGGTCTCTGGGGCAGAGCATCTTGAGATATTTCTGGCAGCATCCTCCAGGCCTCTGGCTTCCCAGACTCGCACATGTGCCCCCACCTCCCAGCCCCATTTCGGTGGGGTGAACTGGCTGAGAGTTCCCTTAGCTGGGTAGGCTTGTTGGTTTTGCAGATTCATCTGTGAGGGCCTATCAATCAATAAATGTATCCTAAGGCAGATGGAAGTTTCCCTGCCCTCCTCTCACTTCCTCCTTGGTGATCTCCAGCCACTCTAGCCTCCCGAGGCTGCAGGAGGCCTGCAGGTGAGGAAGGACCAACTAAACATCTCCTAAGTGGGTCTAGGGCTGTTTCCTCACCTGCAGAATAAGGGGCAGGAGATTCTAGTCACTAAACTCCCTTCCACTGACATTTTGGAACTACTGAGTCTTAGCTGGTTACCTAGAAAAGTGTCACATGCTGAGCAGCAGGAGATTTGGAGCTGTCTGCCCCAAGCTGCAGGACCCTGGCAATACCCCGTTCTCTCTGCCCTATGTCCTCACATAAATGAAAGGTCAGACCCCTTGAGCCTGAGGTTCAAGAGGCGCAGAGCGCTGTGGTTAGGAGTATACAGACTAGAGTCAAATGAGCTGCATTTTAGTCCTACTGTCTGTCACTTTGGCCATGTGACTAAACCTCTTGTGCCTTAGTCTCCTCATCTATGAGACGGAGCCATTAATAATATCCAACTCATAGCATTGCTGTAAGTGCTACCTATTAAATATTAGATATCATAGTATCTACTCACAGGATCCTTGCAAGGAACATAGAAATGAATGTAGACTGCTTATAACATACTGCAATTTAAGTAGTTTAAGTGTTAGTTCCCCATTCACAGGCACATGGTCCCTCTAGCACCCTTACTTTTCTTCTCTGAAGGTCCGGAGCCACACAGCAAAGCGGGGGTTCGGGGATGTGGGGGGTTGTTCAGGCAAGTGAGTAACAGGCTTAGCTTCCCATGCCCGGGTAAATCAGGGATTACTTCCACACTGAGGGGTTTATTGGATGCTCACCTCAAGCACAGTTGCTACTCTTCCCATTTTACACAAAAGAAACAGAGGCTAATCCAGAGTCTGAGGCAGAACCCTGGTCCTGGACCACTCAATCTACTCAACTTCTGCCTCCCCCTCCAATCTGCCTGTTCTACCCCTCTGAGCAGAAGGGTGCTTCTTCCCAACTGAATGACCTTGGACAAATCCCCTAACCTCTGAGTCTCATTCAGAACGCACACATAGTGCCCCAATCCTATGAAATAGGTTTAGTATTGGCTCCGCATTCAGGATGAGGAAGTCAGGGAGTTAGGGGACTGAATGTGCACAAGGACACACCGCTGGATGGTGCGAGCTAAGTGGTCTATCTTTGCAAGTAGCCCCGCAGTGCCCAGCATGCGGTGGGTCACTATTGTCACTGTTCTCTTACAGGAGTAACCACACAGGTCTCCAAATGCCCTCTGGGCCCACGGGCATCCAGCCTATGTCACATGAGCCGAACTATCTTTAGCCAGCAAAGTATTTATATCCCCCAGGGAAGTTCTGCCCCCACCTCCCCACCCCCAGCTAAGGGGGAGCCCCAGAGTCTGTGGCCGGCGAATCCAGGCCCGCGGTGGCGGCCTCTGCCCCTCTGGCCATCATGCCGCGGGGCCTGGAGGTCCCGGTGCAGGTGTGGGTGGACGATCAGCTCTTCCAGGCCGACCAGGCGCTGCTGGTGGAGCACTGCGGCTTCTTCCGCGGCCTCTTCCGCTCGGGCATGCGGGAGGCGCGCGCGGCCGAGGTGCGCCTGGGCGCGCTCAGCGCGGGCGGCTTCCGCACCACGCTGCAGGTGCTGGGCGGCGAGCGGCCGGCTCTGGCGGCCGACGAGGAGCTGCTGCAAGCCGTGGAGTGCGCCGCCTTCCTGCAGGCGCCGGCGTTAGCGCGCTTCCTGGAGCACAGCGTCACGTCGGACAACTGCGTGTTGCTATGCGACGCGGCCGCCGCCTTCGGCCTGCACGACGTGCTCCACGGCGCCGCGCTCTTCATCCGCGACGGCTCGCGCGAGCTGGCGGCCGAGCTGGCCCTGCCCGAGGCCCGCGCCTATGTGGCCGGCCTGCGGCCCAGCAGCTACGTGGCCGTGAGCACGCACACGCCCGCGCCCGGCTTCCTGGAGGACGCGTCGCGCACCATGTGCTACCTGGACGAGGAGGAGGACGCGTGGCGCACGCTGGCCGCGCTGCCCCTGGAGGCCAGCACGATGCTGGCAGGCGTGGCCACCTTGGGCAACAAGCTGTACATCGTGGGCGGTGTGCGTGGTCCCAGCAAGGAGGTGGTGGAGCTGGGCTTCTGCTATGATCCAGAGGGCGGCACGTGGCACGAATTTCCCAACCCGCACCAGCCACGCTATGACACGGTGCTGGCCGGCTTCGATGGTCGCCTCTATGCCATCGGCGGCGAGTTCCAGAGGACACCCATGAGCTCCGTGGAGTGCTACGACCCAGCCGTGGGCTGCTGGAGCTTTGTGGCTGACCTGCCACAGCCGGCCACAGGAGTGCCCTGCGCCCAGGCGCGTGGCCGCCTCTTCGTGTGCTTGTGGCGGCCAGCTGACACCACGGCGGTGGTGGAGTACACGGCAAGGATGGACGCGTGGCTACCTGTGGCCGAGCTGCGGCGTCCACAGAGCTATGGCCACTGCATGGTGGCCCATCGCGACAGCCTCTATGTGGTGCGCAATGGACCTTCTGATGACTTTCTGCACTGTGCCATTGACTGCCTCAACCTGGTCACAGGCCAATGGACGTCGCTACCCGGCCAGTTTGTCAACAGCAAGGGAGCACTCTTCACGGCCGTGGTGCGGGGTGACACGGTCTATACCGTCAACCGTCTGTCCACGCTGCTCTATGCCATTGAGGACGGCACGTGGCGGCTGCATGCGGAGAAGGCTGGCTTTCCCCGGCCCGGCTCCTTGCAGACCTTTCTCCTGAGGCTGCCCCCTGGCACTCCAGGGCCGGTGGCTACTGCCTTGCCAGAACTGTGAGCCCACAGGAGAGGACACCTGAGACTTCCTGAGCCCTGGCTGAATCTCTGGCCTTAGGAGCTGCTGGGAACTTTTTCCCTGTCTCTGCTTTTTGGTAGCTGAATGTGTCCTAGAAGCTCAGGGAGCAGCTACAATGCTGGGGTCTGAGCCCTCAAGTCACTTGGGCTCTCCCGAGAGCTGGTGGGTCACAACATCAGGGAAAGGGGAGAGGGGAGGAGGTTAACATTTGAACAACCCAGGTTTGTACGGGAATGGGTTAGTAATTGAACATGGTTAGGAGTGGGCTCTGTGATGTTAACCAAACTGTTGGTGGGCAAGAATTAGGCACCTAACCTGTGCTGCACACAGTGCTAAGCCAAATGAGAGTTACCAGGCCGGGGTACACAAAGCTTAATCCTAACTGTACAAAAAAATTTACACATACTTGCTTCCATCCACAAAGAATTCAAAGTAACATGCTGACTTAAAAAAAAAACAAAAAAAACACCCATAATATAATAAAGTACTAAAGGAATCAGCAGGGCAAAAGGAAAATAAGGAAAGAGGAAAAATATAAAACTCCATAAAGGAGGAGATTATACAAATTGTGTGGCGGAGACAGGCAGGACAATCTTGAAGCCACAGAGAATGACTGCTCACAGGAAGGGGCTGGTGGAGTGGCTGAAGCAGTAAGAATGCCTGCCTAGCAATCATGAAGCCCTGAGTTCAAACCCCACTGCCTCAAAAAACAAAACAAACAACAAAAAAAACCCAGAGATGGAGGAAGCCTGGAGCAGACAGGAAGTGCCTGTGAGTCCAGCCTTAAGGCAGAGCAACTGTGGATGAAAGCATTTAGGGAGAGGGTGAAGCTGGCCCCACTTTTGGCAGACAAGATTGAGCTGAGCCTGGAGCGAGACTACTGGGAGAGACATTGTGTTCCCTTAGTCATTTTGGGACATGAAACATCAAGGGAGCACCCGTGTGCAAGCCCCTTATCAGGTCCCTTTTTGTCATCACCACAGGGATGCTGCACTGTTGACTTAGAGTCACTCAAGGAGTAAGCTTCGTCCTGCTTATTTCCTCAGTTGTACACCTCCCTCTACACTCTACAGCTTCTGTCTCCTGGCCTCTGCTCCTGCCATTCCCTGGTCCTGGAATGCCTTTCCTCTTCCTCTCTCCCTCTGTCAGCTCCATACCCACTTCCGCCCTGAAGGACCGGGTGATGCAGCCCTTGGTTTTTGTGCTGTTGACTGCCTGCATTGCTCATTGGCCCCTGGCTGTGATCTCATTCTGGGCTCTGTGTATAGCATACACACATGCAGACGGTAAGGGTGGACAGAGGTCCTGTGCTGTTAACTAAGCTGGGAAACTTCCCCACCTGCACAATGAAACGGTGAGGTCTTGCAAAAACCCAGGTTGTAGGGGCCACTAGTTAGGGCCCCTACACTGATCTGTGTTGTTGCACAAGGACTCCTGTCCTTTAGAATGCTCAGTTTTAGGGCTGGTGGAATGACTCAAGTGCTACAGTGTTTGCCTAGCAAGCGTGAGGCCCTGAGTTCAAACCCCAGTACTACAAAAACAAACAGAATGGTCAGTTTTGTGTTCTGGGCAGATGCCTACCCTAGCCTTCCAGTCTGTCTTTACCCTTGAGCAGACTTTTCTGAATGGTCCTAAAGGTCTCCATCCTTCAGAACCTGAGGCTCATGGGAACTCAACCTCATAACAGAAGTGGAGAACACAGCACTGGCAAGGCACATCTGGGTATGGAGGCTTGTGTCCTGGCTGTTTCTTGCTGCCTTGTCCCCTAATGTGTGTCCCAAGCCTAGAGAAGCCTATCCTTCGACCCCTCAAACCTTTCAGCCCTGGAATAGCCTAGTCAGATGATTCCCAATGACAGCTCTGCCTTTTGCATCCTTTGAATGCTGCAGAGAGAACTTTCACACCCATCTCCTGCTCTGGACCCACCACAGTCCTAGGAGTTGGGTACCACTTCCATGTGGCAGATGAGGTATGTGAAGCTCAAAAGCTGACTGCCCAAAGCCAGACAGCATAGCAGAGTCCCTCACTAGTGGTTCTGTCAAAGCCTATTTTTTATTATGTGTCAAGGATTTATCTAACTCATAAGGGAACCAGAAGAATGCAAAGCTGGTTAAGAAGAGCTTTTGAGAGGCAGAGATTTGTAGGGAAAGGACATGCTGGATAAATTTGTAAAGTTAGAATGAAGCTGGTTAATGTCTTATGGGGCAATAAAACCATCATTTTTGTGGTTCTCTTCTGGGAAAAAATCCTTTGCATTTTCACATACATACACATACATACTTGTGCTTGCACCCACAAGTTAGCATAGAATTTCACAAAGCCTGGGCCCTAATAGACAGTAAATTGTTGCTGGTGGGGTGCTCAGCTGGTAGACCACCTGCTTAGCAAGTGGGAGGCCCTGAATTTAAACCCCAATACTGCAAAACAAACAAACAAAAAAACCCAGTCAATTGTTTAAAAAAAAAGTCTGTTGGCCCTTAATTAAATAACTTCCTGGTTCAAACCTGGACACTGTTCAGTGTCCCAAGAGTGATGCTGAAAGGACCTGCAGTCCTCTGCTTCCAGGGCACGGATCGTTCTTGACAGCCTGGAGCACTTCCCCTCCTGGCTCACACCTGTCCAATGCTGACTGGACGTTAGGAGCCGTCAGCTCCTGGGTTCTGTCAACCCACTGAACTCTGCCTTTGGTTGCATTCTGCTCTGGTGGCCCATTTGGTTGTCCTTCACCCAGAGCAGCCCTTTCTAGCTGTCTGTGTGCATGGTATCACAACACAGCGCTCACACGGCGGAGCTTTTCCACCATTGACTTGTTTTTTTAAGAATTTTACGTGGTAGATAGCTTGACAACACCCTGCTCCCCGCATAAAGAAAAATCCCAAACTCAAAGGTCACATGATTGAAAGAGGCACAGCCGGAAGTGGCAGGGCTCAGCTTTGAACCCAGGACCATATGCTTGTTTTCTGTGGTGTGTCCCTGCTTGGCTGACAGTCTGACATTGTCCCTCACATCCCCTCCCTTTCGCCCTGCTCCCTGTACCCCCATCTCTGTTTTGGGTTCACTCTTTCCCTTGAATCTGACCCTTTCTCCTCCCTCTCCTGGGTTCTCTCACCTCAGGATCCAGCTGAGAGAGGAATGGCGTACTTCACGAGGTTGTCCATGACTGGTCAAGGCCCTGGGGTTTTACACTGTCATAACCTAATCCACCATCTCTGGCTTTGGGGTCCTCCCTTAAGGCTCGGAAGCTCCACCCACAGCCAGCATCTGCCTCCACTGCCCCTCCCCCAACAGGGGTGGTTGCCATGCCTGGTTTGCAGATGAGGAAACCAGCAAGAAGCCGCCACTCACTCAAAGTCACACAGTTAAGTAGAAGAGCAAGGATTTGAACCCAGGACTGGAATCCTTAGCCTGTCATACCCTGGTGTCTAGGCTTGACCAACTGAAGTGTTTGAGGACATAAGCCAGGTGTAGGTAGGCAAATTACAGAGATGCTTAGGAGTTACTGAGCTGAGGGAGCTGAGTTTGGAATCAGTTTGTCCCAACCCAGAGACTCTGAGAAGTCTGTCCTTATACACACACACACACACACACACACAAATAGTGTGAGTGTTTCCTCTGTGGCCACCCTGCAGACTGATTTTCGAGAGCTATCTCCAGTCTTCCATAAACTTTCTCCTTGACCCTGACTCTAGATGCCCTGCACCCACACTCTCGTCTCCCTGGAGGTAACTCTGTGAACTTTTTTTTTTCCTAATGGAGCCTGCCCTTCCCGCACTCTCCTCGGCTGCTTCCTTGCCTGTCTCCCCTCAATCTGTTTTGGTGACAGCCATACTCATCCCTAATTCCATGCTGGTCAGACTTGCCGCTCCCCCATGCAGAAGCCCCTGTCACTTCTCATCCATTCAAGTGAAAGTCAAAGTCATTTCAGGATCTGCCCATCCCATTCCCTCCTGACTTCCTCTCTTACCACTCCCCCTGGGCCTGTCTGCTAGTCCTCAAACACCATGCACACCCACAGCTCCGGGTCACTGGACGGGGTCCTTCTTGCCTAGCTTCCTCACCTAGCCACCCGGCTCACTCCCCACCGCCTACAGGTCTTTGCCCAGATGTCTCTTTCATTCTGAGGTCTTTCTTCACGCTGTACTTAAAATCTGCCTTGCCTTTCTCTGTCGTACCTACCTCCTTTTCCTGTTTATGCTCCCCTACAGCATCTAACATAAGCTTCCAGGCTATTTCCCCTTAATGTTTCTTTCCTCCTACTAAAATTTAAGGTCTGTGAGAGCAGAGATTTTTTTTTTTTCAGTGCTGGGGATCAAACCCAAGGCCTGGTGCATACTAGGCAAGTGCTCCACCATTGAGCTACACTCACAGCCCAAGAGCAGAGATTTTTCGTCTGTTTGTTCACTACTCTAACATCAGGACCTAGAACAACATAGTGGAGGCCTAATAAATATTGTCGAATGAGTGGTGCTCAACAGATGTCTATTGAGAGAACGAATGAGTCGATCAATGAGTCAATCAGGGGAGAACAGAGCAAGCCTTAGATGTCAGGACAACGGGGGTCATTTCTGCAGGACAGTGGGGTGGGAGGGTGACCAGGGACAACTGGCCTGAGGAAAAGGTGATCTGTTGGGTCCCGAGCACTCCCTAGGACAAGCTGGATCTGAGGACAGCAGTGGCTGTGGGTTGCTTCTCTCTCTTCAAGGGAAGGGAGTTGGCTGGGGCTGGAAAGACTAATCACCCCGTGAAGAATTGCTCCTCTTGGCGGTGGAGTACACACGGGACTCATCTGTTTATTTTCCTTTGGCCCCAAGCAGCTGGGCCTCTTTTTCATCCTAATTGCTTTGCTTCAACTTGCTGTCACTTCTCAGGAACAGCAGGAAATTAACTGTGCTGGTGGGAGACACAGCTGTCTGAAGACAGGCAACCTCCAAGTATGCTGGACACAGGACATGGGACTCGGGTAGAGGAGGTCTCATCACAGAGGGTCCTCTGCAGCCCTCAGGCTTCGGCCCCAACTGGAGCAGGAGCATAAGAAGGAGCCTCTCTCTGGCATCTCTACAACTAAGAAGGCAAAGGGCCGCTTGGGGGGGGGTCACAGGGTCTTGGACCAGGGTGTGAGCATGTTCCCCCCCCAACTTCTGCAGGGGAGGAATGAACACAGCAGTTCAGTGGACCCACCCTGAGCTAAATCCTATGCTCTCGAATCTACTTCCCATCATCCCATGCTAATCGCTGCCTGCCAGGACACCCAGGAGGGAGGCTCCACACAGGGAATGGGCAAACCTGCCCCTCAATCCCACACCTCCACCCTTATTTTTCCAGGGAAGCCACCCCTCTTGTGATTCATTCTTTCAGCACTCTGTATGATTCAGCAAATAGGGACAAAAAGAGTCGGTGGTATTTGGGCATTT